GGTTGCAACCCACAGGTTGAGAACTGCTGATCTAATACATATGCTGGGAACAAACTCCTGTCCCTGGGCTTAGTAATGTGTCTCAAGGACGTACAGCAGAGGACAGCCACTCTTTCTTTGTTACTGCTTATCTTTGGCCAATAGTATCTGCACCAAGAATGACACAGGTAGCATCTTAGGGTTCAATTTCAAGGGCAAAGGGCAGGTGTCCTCTGCAGCACACTCCCTTCCCCCTGGGTCCCACTCCCACCCCAGCAACATTCTACACAAACATGTCAGCCTTGGACTTAAGGGATCCTTATTGGAATGCAAACAGCTCTGACTCTGAGTGGAATTTCGCTTCCTATATAGTCTGAGTAACTTCTAGGGGAAGAGGAAAAAGATGGGAGGGATAGGGAAGCCCAGCTGTTTACAGCTATTTATTCCTGCAGCTGAACTTTTGAATTTACAAGAAATTCCCTTGGGAAGTTGCCTCAGATGCTGACTTACTTTAAAAAGATAAACATAGTTCTGGGAGCTCTAGGAGGCAGATCTCCCAGGTTCTTCTACTCCCAACTCACATCCCAAACCTTTAGCAGTCTCCTGGACCAAACTCTTCCCAGAGGCACCTTTCTCAGCTGCTAAAGCAAAGAAGCAATGCTATAAGCTTTGGAATTTACTTATCTACAGAGGTATATTTATTTGAAGCAAACAGGCCACTTAATGAGATTTAAAGAACTAACTTGGTAACCTTTGGATTTTTAAACCTAGGAAGGACTTTAAAGGAGGTTTTCCAACTTCCAACCCAGAGAAGTGACTATTCAACATGTCTGCAGGTGAGCCAGAACTAGAACGTGGCTTCCTGATACCCAGACCAGCATTGTCTTACCTTGGACAATGTCAACTCTCTAGATTACAGGCACACCCAGAGTTTCCTTTAAAGAAGCATCTCAATCTTTGCATGCTATTTAGGAATACAGGCATTTTTTGGTTGGTGGCATCTTTTCTGACAGCATGGTCTTGCAGAGAACATGTCTCTTTGACTTTTGGTGAGGCTAAAAGAAGTGGTAGCTATTGTCAGCTGAATGTACCTATCCAATGTATTTTGGGTTTTTTGTAACTAAAAATCACAACTTTTAAGACAAAGGAAAAATAATAATTCCTATTTCAGAAATCATGCAATTATGACTTAGTCCAAGTAATTCCCCCCCACCCCTCAGTTTAATTATGCTGTGCTCAGGCCTTCTCAACTTTGCTTTCTGAAGGAGAAGGCCCAGTTTCTTTCTCTGCAAGTATGTGTTGGAGGTGAAGGGATAAACAGCTGGGGACAGGATGTATAGTTAACTGAAGTCACTCAAGCAGTCCTTGATTTAGAACCTTGGATTTTACTGCTAAAGGCCCTTTAGAGGCAGTCATCTGGTTATAAATTTGGAACCATAGGCTAAGACCTAAATTTGGGATTGCCTCAGTCATTTCTACGTGAGTTGGAGGGAATTAAGCAGTTTGAATATGGGGTTAAGAGTCAAAGTGTGTGGAAACTCAGCAAGATGGGAGAAGAATATAAAGTAGGGGACTGCAGTGTGACTGACAGATTTCGCCACCTTCCCAACTTACCAACTAGGCCAAGGCACTAAGAATCGGAACCGTACTGTATAACATTATTCTTCAAGCGGTGAAGTTTAGAGTGCATATCAATGCTTGAAAATAAGTCCTATGTTCCCCATTCTGCCACATCTAAGTCTCTGTGCTATGACTTTATTTTTTTTTCTGCGTGTGCTTTAGTTTCCTCTCTGAAATAAATACCTCCCACGATTGTTGTAAAGGTCAAATGAGCTAATGAGTATACAATGGCTTCGACTTCCTCTTGGAAAAGGCACGAGTTAGATTTGAGACAGGGCAGCTGGGAAGAAGGTGGTGGACTGGAGAAAGGTTAGAAGCGGTGATGACAAACTGGATGTTAGGAAAGGAAGTATTGTCGGTGCTTGGAGGAGGGAAAATGAGAACCAGAGGCTACTGGGCATTCTACAACCTCACAACAGACTAGCAAGGAAGGTATTGTTCGGTCAGCAAACAATGGCTGAGTGTCTATGCTGCACAGAAGCTCGGAGAAGTTTATCTGCCAAGATCATCCAGATATCTGGTGGCAGAGCTGGGACTTAAACCTTGACCTGGCTGACTCTTTTTCCTGCCCCACAATACCTCTCAGAGAAGAAGGAAATGAATGATTTAAACAACAACAGAGTTCATTTAAAGAGACTCCTGCTAGATGAAGCTATACTTGACATCTGAGTGTCAGGCATTTAAACAAGTTAGCAGTGGAATCAGGGATGTAAGATAGTTGACACAGAGGCACATGCACATTTAAAAACTTCATCAAACCGCCCAAAATACTGATTGCCTTTTTCTCATAGGCAAGAATGTGTTCTGGCATGTTGCTGCTACAGCTCTGGTGGGGAGGAACTTCTTGCCTGATGTGTTTTCATCAAGGTCCTCAGGATAAGTTCTAAACACAAATAAGTCAATTTTCCCAGTCTTGCAGGGTTTGGAGATTCCAGAATGTCCAGCTCAGGAACTCTGATTAATTTCTGCTCCTTATCGGAGAATCAGGAGCTTGGAGTGGCTAGGCCTTTGACCCATATCTGATGAAGCTCATCTCAAGCCCTGTCTCACAATGGTGGGGAAATGACAAGGCCTGAAGGTCACTGTGAGGCTCTTAAACATCAGAGCGAGAAGGGACGTTGGACGCTGACGCACAAGATGGAAGGAAATGGAAGATGGTGCAACTTGCGCCTTGGGCTGACTTGCTGAGCTCCTGCCTGTCGTTCCTTAAGGAAATGCCTGATGAGAGAGGCAGAGGCAAGAGGATCTGTTGAGCCCAATGTCCATCAAAGGGACTCTTGTGACTCATTCCTGTCTCACGTTGGCTAACTGTTAAGGGAAAATCTCTGCAGCAATTTTTAGCAAATAAGCGTCATAACACCCATGCCAGCTCTCGGCCTTCTTCCAGTGAACCCAGGCCCTGGTCCTTGTCATTATAGCAGCCCCCTCACCAGCTGGATGGGCCCGAAGAAAAATCTGCTCCTCAGGGGCAGCTCCAGATGGCAGCTGCAGGCCCAAGACATTAAATCTTCCCCAAATGCAGTGTGAGCAGAAATTATGTAATGTCGGGGAAGGAGAAAGAACACATCTGGGCCTTTCAAGCTTTGTGTGCTCTTATTTCCTGGCAAGCCCATCCCAGAGAAGACTCTGAGAAGCCACATTGAGTGGAAAATCCAACATAGCCCATTTCTGTAACCCAGGGTACAAAGCTCCCAAGAGTGCAGGTGAGTAATCAGCAGAGAAGATGTCTCTGAGTAGAAAGGAGAGAGAGGCTATGTCTCAAAACCCTAGTGGGCCTTCTGAGCATTCCGGAGAGTTCAGAAAAACTGAGCTCATGTGAGAGTGTTCATGCCTGGGACTGCACTCCAATGGTGTAACCACAGGAAGAGCATATCTTCTTACCAAAGCAACCACGATTAATTCTGGCATTCAGTGAGATGACGCTCTACTTGTTTACCCCAACTTTTCTTGGAGAGATTAGCTCCATGATAGATAGTCTGAGTCCATGAGGAGGAGGCGGCCTGGAGGTTAGCTTGAAGGGCAGAGGCTGTAGTTGCATCAGAAACTTAATTGGGGTGAAGATGCCCATCCTGAGATCACTAGTAATGTGACTAGTCGCTTCCTCTTTCTAATCTTCAGACCCTTCCACCATCCCTCAGGTTGTCTATGACTCATGGAGATGGACTGCACAAGTAGCCCCCAACACCTCTGTCTCCTCCATGTCCCCACTCACAAAGAGTGGGCAAACACTGCAGGAGGAAGAGGGCTGGGGGACTATGCTGAACTCAAGACATAGGGAAGCACATGGCCTTGCGGTTGGCCCTGAGACAGCGAGAGAATACTTCTCAGTTACAAGCCCTGGTGGGAGCACATCTCTCCACAAAAGTCATTTCTAACCAGGCAGCTCCCCACAGCCCTGTAACCACCAACCATGGCAAGACACGCACTTCTATGAGGAATGTTGGCCAAATTCCAAAAACCACCCAACAGAGAACCCACCCTGGTAGTTTGTTGGCAAACACCACTGCTAACTACTTGTTTCCCAAATGAAGTGAGGTGGCAAAGAAAACCTAGAAACCACACAACCACATAGACTGGATATTGTGCGGAGGCAAGAGATCTAAGACTGTTTACTGGGCATAGTGAGAAAACATAACTATTTAATACATAACTATTTAATCATGGCACTCAAGCAGAGCTTAGGCATGACCTTTCACCCTTCCTGTATTTGGCACTTCACACGAAGGCACAAGGCAGACCACAGCCCAACCGGATGGATGCCACTATAGCCCCAGCCAGATATAGAGCAAGTTCACAGAGTTATACAACCATGAAGACAAAGAGATGTGATGTCCCCCTTTCCCACCTGGGAGAGTGTTGGAAATATCTCTGAAGAAACAAAACAATCGAGCAGCACCTGTGGCTCAAAGGAGTAGGGCGCTGGCCCCATATACAGGAGGTAGTGGGTTCAAACCCAGCCCTGGCCAAAAAAAAAAAAAAAAAAAAAAAAAAGAAAGAAAGAAAAAAAGAAAAATAGAGAAACAAAACAAGCCCCAGAGAAAAGATCTGCAAATATTGATATGTAGGGTTCTCCAATAACGAGTTCAGGTGCCCACCTGGCGACCCTAGAGAAAAGCCTAGTAGTTGACACACAGAGCCTCCAATCAGCTTTTTGAGGCATCACTCTTCAATGTGAAAAGATCCACAGAATTCCCTGATATTTGAGGAAAACTTATTACCTGAAAAACAAGAGACTATCAACCAAGAAAAAGGGAACTTAGATAGCAAAATCAGAGGTGTTACAAGGATTGGGAAAGAACTCCCCCTCAAAACACTATCATTAATATCCACAAAGAGATAAGCTCTTCATCCATGACTCAAGAACAAAAATAAGAGAACAGCAACAAAAGGTTTTGTTAATTTGGAAATTAAAAATTCAATAAGACATTCATATTGGGAAAATGAAAAATTCTTCCTGAAAGCAGATCAAAAACATATACGGAAAAGATAAAAATACTAGAAGATCAGTCTGGGACGTCCAACATTGAAACAATAAGGTATCCAGAAAGAAAGAATGTGAATAATTATAAGAAAATTTAAGAAATTTCCCATGAGAGCCCAGGACAAGGTATTATATAACATCAAGAATTTAACACCATCATGATACTTCAGAACACTAGGAATAAAGAGATTTTAAATGTTCCCAGGGGAAGCAGAAACCCAAGTCACATATAAAGGCATGGGAATCAGAATGGCATCATAAATCTTAACAATCATGCTTGGGGGTGGGGAGGGGCAGTAGAGTAGGGTATTATTTTCCATCTGCGATTTTATGCTCAGCCACACTTAGATAAAGGCAGGATAAAGACATTTTAAGAAGTTATGCAAAAATCTTAAAACTTTCTCAGGAAGTTATTAAAGAATGTGCCACACCAAACTCATGAGAAAGAACATATAACTATAGTACACTACTTGGCTCAGCTGTAAACAATCTTTATATGCCCCAGGTATTTGCAATACTGAATACACAATGTACCAAATAATGTGATCTAACTACATTAAAAAAAAACAAAGCAGGGTATAGGTAAGAGCAAAATTGCATCTACTCTAAAAGTAAGCCAATAGATGTTTCTAAGTCAATTAAAAAACAAAGTGCAAGCATGTTATATAGAAATGCAAAGAAATATTAGAAGTAACAGCTTAAAGAGTTGGAAGTGGCTACTTCTAGGAGGCAAGACCTAGGTGACTGCTAGTTCTTGTTAAAAGTCTTATAGAATTTTTTAAATAAATTTTTTTACTTTAATTAAAGACAATCACTAGCACTAGGGATGGTTTGTTCTGCAGACTTCACTATTCACCTTCTATATTCATCTTCTTTCATAAGTTCATATTTGAGTAAGATTTTTTTTTCCTTTAAAGAAAAATCAGTTTACTGCCAACTTGAACCAAATGACTTGTAGGTATCTTGCCAGCAGATGCTTTAATGAATATTATAAGTTGTAATAGGTGAGAAAAGAAGCCTGCAGAGATTTTTCTGAACAAGGTCTAGACCCATAAAATGAAATGATTCACATTTGGGTCAGCTCTTCCCTGGCTCTTTAAGCATCTAATTTAGGAGAGGACTACATGGTGTCTAGAGTTATAAAATATCACAACATAATCTTTATTATCTGTACTTTTGAGCTTTCAATGATGCCAGGGACCTCATTAATTAGCTCATTTTAGGGTTCTTGGCCTTCCAGATGGAATCACTCCAAGCTCCCAACAGCTTTCAGCTTGGAAGGCTGAAATTCTTTTGGGAAAGGGAGACAGACTATAATCGGAATGGTTTAGAGGCCAGATTTTGGCTGTCATCGACTCAAATGTGCTATGTAAATTCTTTTGGCCACGCTGGAATTCTGTAAACTTGAAACCCTACTGCTTGAAATGAGCAAGTCCTTGGCTTGCTAAGAAAAGAAACGTGGTTCCTAGAGTAAGAACGATACTGGTATGTCAAATGACAAGCTGTTACAGCTGTTGAGAGTATTCTAGAAAGAACAGTGGATGAGCCTAAAGGTGAATAAAACTTCCTCATGGGGAAAATATGAGAACAAAAGAAAGGTCAACAGTTGGCCTAAAAAATTTGATTTTGCTTGAATGATGACATTGTATCTTTTTTTTCAGGATATTTACATACCCAGTGGAAGTTTCCTTCAAGAGGTGATGGCTCTGGACTGTGTGCTCTCTGCAAATCTGTTCTCAGTTGGCTGTGTGACCTTGGTCAATCTGCTCTGCCTCTCTGGGTTCAGCTAGACAAGATGCTCCCTGAGGCACTCTTCTGACTAACAGTTTACAATTTCAAATGGGCTGCCTAATACATGCTTTCTGAGGGGGAAGAAACGGGGAGAAGGAATTAATATTGAGTTTTCACAGACCTGAGTCTTGGCAGGAAGAAGAGAGCAAAAGGGAAAGCCCACAGCTGACGGGGATGGAGGGTGGGAGAACTGCCTTTCTTTCTCTCACAAACCACCTGCTCTGGTCTATTCCCAGGGTGCCTTCCAGAAAACCTTTCCAAGAAACCCATTATGACTAACCACAAAAGATGCCTATGCCAAGACTAGCATTCTGGGGCAGGTGCGCACAAAAGCTTTTTTGGGCAGACACCTGCTGCACCAACCAGCATCAACATCAGTGTGAGCTTATTCCAGCCTGGTCACTTCTCCTTAGGGCTTTTTGCCCTTGAAGATACTTCCAGATCAGTCACTGAAGCTGAGGGTGGCTGCAGCAAAGATGGCTGAGGGAGAGCTCTGCTTTCACTGTGTTGACTGGACTGGCCCCTCTCAGGCTTCACTGGACAAGAGGGTTCCATCCATGGAAAAGGTTGGAAAATCACAGCTCTACCTCAATCCCAGCAATGCATAAGTGGATTAAAAGTGCACCCTTCCCCGCCCCCGCCCCCCGAAAAAAAAACTAGAGTGAAAAAGACCGTGCTGTGGCTCACAACACTGTCTTCACCTTCTTCCCTGGACTCTGCCCGGCCCTGGATGTGCTGGCCCAGAGCCAGCAGCTTCCTGCTGCTTGGATTTCTCCCAGTAAACGCAACCCATTGACAGGCTGCAACCGGGGCATGGACCCCAGCACCTTCACTCAAATGCTCTCTCTTGGAGGAAAACATGGCAGTTTTCTACTCAGACAGGGCTCGGCCTGGGGCTCCCACCATCTTTCTCATCAGGCAGCCCTTCATCTGAGAGGTAAGTAACTCAAGTTCATTCAGGACCTTAAAAACCTGCTTGTGGGGTGAGCTAAGATCCAGGTTTTGGCTAAATATCAGTCATGATGCTTCCAATCAGACCAAGCAAGGCACCGAGGCAAAATCTCACCTAAGGATCCAGCCGCACACCTGAGTTTTGAGTACACAGCTACAGGAAAAAGCATGCTCAGGTTGGACAGAAGAAAAAAGAAACTTGGGAAAAGCAAAACCACAACAACGGGGGGTGGGGGGGGGAAGGTTGTCTAAGTTTGCTTGGAGGTCCTTAGTAGAAGTGAGTGCCCCACCCAGAACCCAAAATAAAACAATTAAAAGAACCCCACCCCTGGCAGCGTCCTGTCTTTTTATTATCCAGACACACACATCAGAGTCTGTTGACATCCAGCTGTGGGAAGAGCAGCAGGCAGTACACCAGGAGCCAGAGAAAGAGGATAAAATACATCATGTCTGGCTGCTGGACAAACTGTGTCAGTGAGTCGCTCCGCGGGCTGTGGCTCTCCAGCAATGTGGCTTCTCCGGAGTTGTTGGACTTCCTACAGAAGGAAGATGGAAAGACAGTCATGAGTGGGTCCCCAGGAGAGTGGACCCCACCCAGTGCTACTGCACCCCCCCATTCTCTACCCTGCCCTCCTAGAAAACTGTGGGCTTCCTGGTTTGGTGTCCAGGGATGCCACATTGTGTGTGCTGACCCAACACAGATGGCCAGCCATCTGGGTGGCCCGTGGAGATTTCCCGCACACAATTCATCTCTATGACACTATGTGGGAGGCGTTGTCAGCCCCATTTCTGCTGTGGGAATGCTGAGATTCACGGGGTAAAGTGACTCGGGGCGGGGGTGTGCTGGTACCTGAACCAGGTCTCCTGGGACACCCTCCTTGATGCTACAGTGCCTCAGAGAGTTCTGTGACAGAGTTAGATACTGAGAGCTCACTGCCATTTCTTAGGAATGGCGGGGCCTCCATATGTCATCTAAAGGGCAGAGTGCTCCCCAATCACAGATCATTTCCAAATAGCAATCAGAAATGAAAAAACTAAGACCACCCCCTCACCCCCATTTTCTTTTCGGCTTTGGAATATTAATTTAAAATAATTACTAGACTTGATTTTCCTCCTATTTATCTTTCTGCTCTTATTTGACAGGAGGTAGTGTTCAAATGACATCTCACCTCTGCTTGGGGGATAACAGGAAGTCAAGAAGGGAGGTGGGGAGGAGGAGGGAGGGGCTCTGCTCCCAGCTGCAGTAGATGGACTCTGAGCCTCTTGGGGTCATTTCTGGGTATGGGATGGACATTAGGAGAGACTGAACTATCTCTTGACAGAGGGAATGAGGGGTGGCCCTAGCTTAAGCCTTTGTTGCCATCTAATGACTGATTCATAGGCAGAAATGGTCACAGACAGAAGTTTTCCTTTTTAAGACTGTCTACAGAAAAAATTGAAAGTCCATTTTTATTACAAAGGTAATAAGTGCTCAACATAGAAAACATGCCTGTGTTTCTCAACTTGGCAGGTTCTATTTTCAACATCTCTATCTCATAGGAGCAAAAAGTACTATTTTCTTAAGAGCATGTCCAGCATAGCTGAAAACTTGAACAAATATTTCCATCCTTACGGCAGGGGAGGAAGCTTGTTTTGCTTCTTTTTTAGGAAGGGTGGAATTATAAGGACCACACTCCTGGGTGCTAGGCAGTATTGAGACAGAAGCTTCCAACCAATTCCATGAATATAAGCCAATTCAAATCCATGGCCAAGAAAATTAAAGATATAAAACAGTAAAAATGAAAAGAAATGAAGTGATTCTCTCAGAACTGTAAGAGTTTGAGAGGTTTTTCTAGTTTCTTCTGTTCTAAATGGGCAGTTTTATCACAAATCAGCAATGTTAGATTAGGCCAGCTAGTTCTCCAACAGTAAGAAATACTTTCATAGACATCCTGGCATGTTTGTATTCCCTCTTCATGTCTGCTCTGATGCCATAAAACTGTAAAATCAGCTCAGTGAGCTTCTGAGTATTGTACCTGCAGTGGCGACACAGAATGAACACAGTTGTCAGGTGCTACAGCATGGGAGGACACACACAGCATTGCAAGCTCACCACCTAACCATCTCATGCCACCATGTCATTTAAATGAGGCTGCAGGTTCTTAATCCAGCAGCCTCTGCCCCACCTTTAAACTGATTTTCTGAGCTGTGCCCCATCCATCGATGTTCATTAATATCTACCTTCCCCTCCCACTCACTTTGAATTGACATTCACTTTTCTCCGAGAACAGGTATTTTCTTGCCTTATCCCAAATTATTATTGTGGTTATCCACAAAGCTCAGTTGGCGAGTAACCACCCCCAGCAGGTAGGGGGCATAATTGTAAAAACAAATTCTGGTTTTTTTTTGTTCTTAAATCCCACAAAACTTGAAGTGGCGTCAAGCAACCAACCTGGTTAACATTCGGTTTCTTCTCTCATCCAGATCTGCTGCGTTCCTCAATTGAACATAGCTAAAATGATCCTACAGTGAAATTTATAAACAAAAGCCCCGCAACCCAATTAGTAAAGATGAAATCTCTGAAATAGAAAATAAAATGATTTTAAACACACAAAGCCGAGCACGCCATGCTTTTCTCAATATCGTCAACATCTAGTCCCCAGATCAAGCCGCTAAACAACACGCATTTCCCTCCGCCCTCCGCCTGAACCTGTGAAGATCCCCCCACCTACACAAACCCTGGATGGGGGTGTGCTGTGGACTACGGGAGCTTTTGGTCTCAATAGGTATGGGGCTAAGCACTTGGGAGTGTAACACAGACCCTCTACTTAGGTTGTGTGTGCCTCTACCTCTGAATGTGATCTTTCTGGGCATGTGTGCAGGGGCCAAGCGGGGGGTCTTGGATGCATTTTTACAACAAAGAGGCCTTTGGGCTTTAAAATCATCACTTTATTTACATCCCTTATTGCCCAAACTGGACATCCAATTGGACTGTGCTTAATGACAAGTTTTCAATTTGTTAGTCTTCTATCCAAAAGTATAGTTGTTGCACGTCAGTAATTTCAAAGCTCTGGACTGGGGAGGAGGAAGGATGGAAAGGAATTGATTAGCAGGGGCCGAATGGAAAAAGAAGAAATTCGCATACTAACCGATTCCAAAGACCTATTAGTATGTCGTCGAATGTAAATGCTGGAGTCACTGTGACTAGTCCTGAAAAACAAACACACATTTTGGATTGGTAACACCCAGAGCTCCTCACGGCTCAGTTGTGAGGTCACACCCATCCCGAGTCTTCAGGTCTGGATTTAGGCAAGTGATGACTTGAGACTCAGGGACAGAAATGAGAAATTGTATCCAATATACCCACATTGGTTGGAGTGCACTTATAAATAGTAGGATGGATGCTGGAGACATACATGGGGCCCTCATCTACAAGAACAAACAAAGGCAGTGCTTTAAATGGAGAGCAAGTCACATATTCTTATAAATCACACAATTTAGGGCAGGAAAGGACCTATTTTCCAAGCATACTGAGGTCTTGGGACATGGCAGAGGTCCTTTGCAAGTTGTCAAACGTGAGCCTAGAGCTAGAATGTGGACTCCCTTTCTGGTGCTCCTTCCTGTGTACAATGCTGCTGTTTCTCTAGCTATCGGACGTACCCCCTCTTTTTACTTTCATACACAAAAAGGCTAATTTTCCAACAGTGTCTTGAGGTTGATGTGGAATGTGCCTCTGTCCTTGGAAGTGAGATGGCTTGCCCAGGGCTATCATGCTGGCTCCTGGCTGATTAGCTGGCCATGCCAGCCTAGCACTTGCACCTATGATCAGTTTTCCTCATCTGTAATATGGACCACCAGTCCACCGTACCTACTTTGTGGAGCAGGGGGGATCTTAGAGTGCCAGAGAGGAAAGGATTTGGCCCTGTTTTGCTGCTCAATGGGAGAATAAGGTATTACTGGGTGTTGAAGCACACTGGCACACAGACAGGACAGTCATCTGAGTTTTCTCAAGGCAAACCTCCCATGTGGCATTCTGGGGTCCAGGAAAAGTGTGCTTGGCCCAAGAGTCTAATCCCAGGGAATTTATCATTCATAGCCTTGGTATTCCTGCCCACTGCTGTACTCAGAAACCTCACCAAGCTCTTCCTTTGATCTGGGTACACTTCTAACTAATAGTTACACTGAGCACCTATTACATGCCAGGGGCTGTGTGAGGCTTAGGGACACATCAATCCTTTTTCTTGGTCCAAAAACTGAGCTATTTTTTCCCTGCTGGCATCATAGCACAGAAATGGAGCAAAATATACTTAACAATGACAAAAGAGACCCCTGGTACCTGAGACCCAGAGGGGTGTCCCATAAAAGCTGGCCCACACACTGCAGTCCTTAGAGATGCAGAGGCATTCTTTTCCCCACCTGTCTGCAATGTTTTCTAATAAAAAGCACACCCTCATCAGAAGGGAGGCCTCACTCCTCTCCTCCCCTCTTTTTGGCAGCATACTTTCTTTTAGGTGGTCATTGTGTGATGCTGTCATCTGTATGAGACTTGTAGTGGGTTTGAACTGAACGGAACAACCTTCTTTTAGCAAACATTTATCAAGAGCCTCCTGTGGACCAGGAACTGGGCTAGGTGCTGAGGACCTCCCTTCTTCCCTCCAAGAGCCAACCACACACAGGAGCACATTCATCTCCATATTCATCCACCTAAGGAATTTTTGTCCAATGCTAACTGTGAGCCCCAGGCCGTGCTAAATGCTGGGCTGATGGTGAGCCCTATATACACAGTTCCTGCCTTCAGGGGTCTGGCTCAGGGTCCAGCATGGATGGAAAAGTCAGATGGTAAATGCATCCTTAACAGATGATGATAGAAATTACTGTTTGGATAAATGCTGTGAAGAAAAAGAGTAGAGGCTATGAGAACGCACATACGAGACAATCAAAAATAGCCAGGAGGGGCTCGGCGCCTATAGCTCAACCGGCTAAGGCGCCAGCCACGTACACCTAAGGTGGCGGGTTCGAATCCCCAGCCCGGACCCGCCAAACAACAATGACGGCTGCAACCAAAAAATAGCCTGGCGTTGTGGCGGGCGCCTGTGGTCCCAGCTACTCGGGAGGCGGAGGCAGGAGACTCGCTTGAGCCCAGGAGTTGGAGGTTGCTGTGAGCTATAGTGCCACGGCACTCTACCTAGGGGGACAGCTTGAGGCTCTGTCTCAAAAAAAAAAAAAAAAAAAAATAGCCAGGAGGAATCCAGGAAGGCTGCTTGGAGGGAGCGGTAGAGCTGAGACCCGAGACTGACAGGAGTAAGCTAGGAGACAGCCAGAGGGAAAGTCCTCAGATCTGAAGGAGCTTGGGGCAGGGGGTGGGTATGTGGGGCATTCAAGGAACACAATTAAGGCCACAGCACCTGGTACAAGGTGGATGGAGGTGAGGCTGGGGAGACGGAGGCCTCAGGCGTCCTCAGAAAGGCTCTGGGACAACAGGCCTTTCTGCCTAGACCAATCAGAAGGCATACAGAGCAGCCAAATTGAATTGTGGGTGAAAAAATTCCTTAGCCTGCTCTAGGGAAGACAAAGGCCCAGAGCTCAGTCCCATTGAGTAACCTCGGCCAGGTGCTGAGCTCTCTGCAGTTCCGTTTTCTTGCATGTACCAGGTGGTGGTAGCTCCTCCCACACTAGGGCAAGCAGGAGAAATGGCCTGACACACAAGAGGGGCTCCGGGTGCTCCTTCCTGCACACACTGTCTACACCTCAACGCCACTGCTTATATTCAGGATGCTACAGTCATCTGGGCTAAAATGCCTTGTCATCATTATAGCTGTGCCACAACTGTGCCTGGGGTGAGATGGGAAGGAGGAGCTGGGAACAGAATGGCTGCCTGCCCTGCACAGAGGCCAGAGGAGAGAGGAGGGGCTCTGCACTGTGCAGCCTGAAATCATGGTTGCTTCCCCGCCTCCCCTCCCCCCTCTCATCTTCAGGGTGCAGGCTCTGCTTCCATCTCTGGATGCAGCACATAGCCAAGATGTTTGCTTTCCCCCAGTGCTCCCTTTTTTTTCTCCCCCGACCCCTTATGCTCTACAAGTCTTTGCTGAGGTGCCCACTAAGCACCAGCTCTTTGCCTAGGCTCTTTCTCACACCTGAATGCTCTGGGCCTCTCCTCAAACCAAATGCCAGCTCAACCTCGGTTCAAATGACATCTCAGCCCCAGGCCACTCTGACTCTACCTGCCTCTGATCCAAACTGTTAGATCCACTTGTGCAGCACCTGTCATGCCTGCGCCTCCTAGTCCTAGCAGAATAGATGGTACCATCTCACTTCCCTGGAGGACGGAGCCCTGCCTGGATCACCTCTGTGGCTGACCTCATTCTCTTACTTCTGAAGCTCCCAGGTCTAGCAGACTCCATCACACAGTGTCTGCTCAAAGATGATTTGAGAATTGACCTGCTTAGGGAGATGCTCAAGTTCTGGCAAAGGACTGATGACGCTTCCCAAGTTGTGGTAGACCAGATGGCAGCCCTGGGCCATCTGCCTGCAGCTGTTCACCTGCCGGTGAAACCGCTAAGAATAGATGGCTGCTGGACATCATGAACAGCACCAGGAACAAGCACTCTGAGAGTCACAGGCAAAGCCAGCAGCAGCCTTGTGTTGTACCTTGCCCCTCCTCACCTCTGCCTCTGTTTCCCCAAGGTCCAGGCATGAAAGCAGAGGAGGGGGAGATGGAGACCTGGGCACCTGACAGTCACTTCCCTGGCTCTGTCGGCGTGGGCTTCTCCCTGCCCACACCCCAGATGCATGTCTCAATCACCTTCCCCAGCAGCCTGCACTGCTCGCCCTGCTTTGGGTAATGAGGGGCCATGAAAAGAATGTGCACAATGGAGTCATTTCCCCAAGGGCGAGGTCATGGGGGAGTCACCCGCCCTGACCTTCCTTGTCTGCCATAACGAGGCACAATCCCAACCATGAATCTATGGGGAGACCCTGAGAACAAATGGGAAAATGTGTGCCATGTGCCTAAACATAGCAAGGGCTTGGTAAATGCTGACTATTGTGACAATGAGAGACAGTGGATGAGGAGAGATCAGGATCTTCTGATGTCCAGCAGTTATCTATTTTCCTTGAGACAAATCTGGCTCTTCTGGAGGCCTTGGGGTGACAGAGCAGATGTGTGCTACAAGATTCCTGTAGATCATTAAAACTCATTATTCTCTCCGCTCCTTCTCCACCCTGAGATAAATCAGCTGTTCTTACTTCCTTGGAACTGAGTTTGTGGGAGAAGCCATATGCGAATGCAAATGTCCAGCTCCCATGTGCCTGAGATTACAAGTCTCAGTGCATGTCCTCAAAGTTAGTCAGATGCTTCTAAATCACGAAGACCAGTCTCTACCTAGACTAACACGTAGTTGTCTCGGGGCCACAGGGCAGCTGGCAGAGGCTCCACGTCTGCTCCTGTCACTCCAAAACCTATGTATGGTTCAGCCACCAGCCTCTCACTGCTAGTTCCCACCCAAAAGCGTGCAGAATGAGGACAGAAGCCAAGCCTCATGTCATTGCAATGTTGCGTCCTGTGAGCAGATCTGGTAACAGTGAGGTCGGGATGGGGAAACCCAGGGAGAGAGAATGAGGATTTTGTATGAATCTGTATTCCCCTGCTGTCTAACCCCAGCCCCCATCATATCAGAAATTGAAAATGGAAGGCCTTCAGACAGTAACTCCCCGGGGTGAAAACATGCTCAATAAATACCTGGAAGGGATTCTGTGCTCGCTAGAGTCTTCTTCTAGGTCATCTGAGGATCGAATAGTTCCGGGTGCTATAAATAATGAACTTTCTACGTGGTCCACATGTTTCCTTTTTTCCTTTTTTTTGCTGCTGATTGATTTTTCCACCACCTTTTCTTCTATGGGGTTTGCTATGTTTTCTGACTTTGGGGATTCCTGGGGCTGCAAGATAGAATAACCAAAAACAAGTTAGTATTTCATGCTGTGAAGTAAAGTGTGTGACACCACCTGGCAGTGCTCCGCTCGAGCCCTGCTGGGGCATCGCTTTCATTTTTGTCTCTTTCCTCTTCACGCATCCCTTCCAGCATGGCCACATAGGAGGGCAGCATATCCCAACTCCTGCAGAATTCAAATGCTATGAATGATGGTGTAAAAACAATACCGGTCCTAGAGTCAGTAAGATCTGGTTTCAAATCCTGGCTGAGCCAGCTATCTGACCTTGAGGGACAGCATCTCTCTGAGACTCAGTTTCCTTGTCTGTCAAATGGGTACAATAGTTATCAACCTCATCCCACTATACTAGAGTTTTCTTTAAAGGATGTCCCTTACAGTGGGCAACGGTTGAACCCTTCCCACAACCAAGATCCATCTAAACCAGTGGTTCTCAACCTTCCTAATGCTGTGAACCTTTAATACATTCCAAAGGGGTCGTGACCCACAGGTTGAGAACTGCTGATCTAAACAGAAGAAAGAATCCTGGAATCTAAGTGGGCCATGGAGTACAAAGTTAGCCCATGAGCTTGGAGAAATACATACACAGGCCAATGTGCAATCTGCAAGGTGACCTCTTCCCTGTGCCTTGGTCAGAGGTCGACTGCAGTGCAACATCTCTAGCATTTATTTTAGGAGGATTCTCTGGCTGTCTGGAACAGGCATCCTGAAACTTATCAACAAGGCTTCCCAGGGATCCATTCAGTGGGAGTCATAGAATCCACCTGTCAGTAATTCCTTTGGGGCTGGAAGAAGCTATTCAGCAGGTGTCAGAGTAAGGGGACTAGAGTGGCCAGGCCAGTGTGCTCCAGGAGAACAAAGGCCTGTGCAGGGCTGAAAACCACTTTCGGCAATTAGAAGCAGCAGCCCCTCTTCCTTCACCAACGTGCAAAATCTGCCTTTTCTGAAAAGTGAAATGAGTAGGGGCCTTTTTCCCCCTAAAGACTAGAATAAGAAAAACTTGCTATTTTCTAGTTTATTTACCTGGGAAAATCTCTTTTTTCTTTTCTTTTCAAGAAGGCATTAGAGAAAGTCTCCTTCCATGTCTCCTTCTCTGCTAGAAGGCAAGACTCTCAGGCCTCACCTGTTGTCCTGGGCTCCCCCATTAAACAGAGTACACCCCGTCCCTTCACACCCCAACCCAGACTGAGGCAAGGGTATCACACAGGAACGATGGGCTATGCTCACTGGATAGAGGAGGGCCAGAGGCAGCAGACACCATCGATTTCACTCCACACTGTCTCCAAAGGAGGCCATCTCCCCGAGCTCTCACCCTGAGTGAGATCCAGGGTGAGAAGGGCTCAAATCTAGATCTCCTGACTCCATGATCCCAACCCAGGCCTCTTTCAACCACTCCCCAAATTCCCTGTCCACACACTGGGCACATACAGATGCTTGATCTGCTTTGGGTAACTGTAGGAAGGAAAACAGACTAGAATGATCTGGCACGTTTGTGTTTCCATGGGCCCCCTTCAAGAGCCCAGGAGAGAGGAGAGTGCTAATTTGCTAATTTGTCTTTTTAAGTAACAACAGATGGGCAAAAATGCAACTTGGGCTCTGTCCCCACTGCCCACTTAGGCTGCTTCCTTTTGTCCTAAAAGAGCTTTCTGGCCCATAACAATCCAGAGATTAAGGCCCCAACTGTTCCCCACTCTGCTTCATTTTCATGCATGGCAGTGGCAGGGGTGGCTGTAAAGAGGTCAGCTTACAGCAGGTGGGAGGGGATTGAAATGGCTTCCTCTCCCTGGGAACAGAAGGGGAAGATGGCAAGTACAGTCCCTGACATCCAAAGAACCACTCAGCCTCTACCCTGTCCCTCCTATGGATGATAGACAATTGCTGCCCTGCCCATCTGGCCATCGCCCTGTGCCTCATGCACTCTCAGCCTGGGAATTCTGCTCCTCCCAGGGCTGGAGCAGCTACTTACTCCCTACTGACTGGAGTTGGCAAACTGAAAAAAATTGACCTCCCACTTCTGCTCTATCTAAAGTCCTAAGTGTCTATAAAGGCTACTCAAATCCCTTCTTTATCCTGCAGTTCTCACAGGGCCAAAGTCCGTCTGATTCTTCCAAGCATCACCAGTCCTTTGGGCCCCATGCAGCCCCGACTCTGCAGGGCTGAGAGCCAGAGTTTTGTATTTATGTCAGTGTTCTTTTTACCTTCCATTGACTATACATCCCCAAACCATGATGCAATAAACCTCTGTCCCCTGCACTGGTGGGCTCTGGCAGGTCTTGTATTGGTCTCTAGGGTCCAAAAATTAATACATAAATGCCCACTCCCATGGGAGAGAAAAACAAAACCCCTGAAAACTGGATAAGAACTCTAGGAGACAGATGTCAAAAATATGATTGGCTATCGGTGAGGGAACAGCATTTCGGTCTGGGGAAAAGCTAGGAAGACTCCTGGGAAGAGGTGCTGGTTGCATTGGGCTTTGAAGGGTGAATAACTGCTTGCCGAGTGGTGGGTAGGGAATGGGGTACTAGATGGTAGGACCAGCCCAGTGATATCTGAAGGCAGAAGAGAGCTGTGGGTCTGGGAGCTAGGGAGGGGTGTGGGAATCGGGGAGAGGTCTGGTTTGGCTGGAGGTGAGGAAGGGAGGGAGACAGGGAGGGGTGGGAGGCCAGGCTAGAGAGGGCAGTGTATTGAAAGTGGTGCTGAGAAGTGTTGACTTATTACAGACAGGAGTCAGGAAGTTGTAAGATGAAATTTGTTTTAGGGTTATCTGTCTGCAGACTATGGAGGGGGTTGAGCTGGAGAGGAGAGGTGAAGGGATAATGGGAAGGAGTCGAGCCACGATGATCTGGAAAGCCCATTACTTTCCCACTACAGCTCCTGTGTTTAGGGAACATCCTCCACCCAGAACTCCTACCCCAGTTCCAAATCCCCCCATCCACGCACACTTCTGCCTTCCTAGAGCTAAGGGACCGTCTCCCTCTGCTGAATGCCTGAGTCCCTTGCTGGGGCCATGTCTGATGCCACATTCACTCACAGTATACAGTTCCTGGGGGACTTGGTGTCTCCAGCAATAGACACAGACAGCAGGATTTTCTTTTCTACTGACTGCTCCCCACAGGATGGAGTGTGTATTCAGGTGCACTCACCGAGGGGCAGAGCCCAGGCTGCTCTCCTCCTGGGCTGTCTCACCCTGGGTGACCCATCTGCACTGGGTCCTACAGGGGCATAGCCAACTTGGATTTGGATCCACTTCCTGGCTCCCAGTGCTGCTGTGGGGAGTTCTTATTAACACGGAGCCTGCAGGAGGACCCCCCTCCCCATAGTTAGAAGCTAGAGTCCCATGTGCCCATTCAGTGATCACACCAGCGGCCCCTCATGAGCTCCTAGGCCAGAGGAAGTGGGAACACAGTGGAAGATAAGGGTGTGGCCAGCTGCTGGACCTCAGAGTTAGGTACCTCTCCTCACCCTGTTTACACAACCCATTTCAAACCACAGGAACCGAAGATTAGTGCCCCGCAGGCAGAAAGCCTTTAAAAACCAAGGCTGGAGTCCCTGCCTCTGTTTCTCCTCAGTTGCCGCAGGAGACAGAGGGCTGCAATTCACTAAATGCATACTAGACATTAGTTACAAGGATTATTTTTTGAATTACTACTATGATTCTGCTGGACCCTCAAAGGTGATCTCACTTGATATTCACAGCAGCCCTGTGATCTGTGAGTTTTCTCACTGGACTGCCAGTGAGGTGCCCAGGTACAAACTTTCAGGCGGTGCTCACACTCCGGTGACACCCCTGCACCTGCTCGAGGCTGACCGTGGATGCCTTTTGGAATTTAGTGACCCAAGATGCCTGTACCACCTCATCCCTATCTTACAGAGCAAGAAGGTGAGCTTCAACAAAACGTGCCCAATTCCCCAGGCCAAGCTCAACATTCTGAAACCCCACGATCAAGTACCTGATGGCTCTCCGTAGGGTCATGCTCTTCAGCCTCCCTTTGCTGGTGGTCCTCACTGGAGAATGGGGGAGCAGGTTCGGAGGCTGGTGTGGCACCCATGCCCCCTCTTTTGAGATGTGACAACTGGCTGCTGGCACTAGGGAGAACCTCGCCTGCCACAGGGGAGCTGCAGCTGCTGTAGGAGCCATCAGCCTCCTCCTCCCTGGAGTCTAGGTCATGCAAGTAGCCCTCTGACTCTTCTAGATCCATTTCTTCATTTTTCAAATCCTCTGAGCCTTCTGCATAAGCCTCCAAAACTGCAGCTAAGGGCACCTCATAATGCGGGTAGTAAAAAAGCTCGTGGGGAATGACAGACACCTTCGAGAGGGGTGGGGAGGGCCTGAAATCCAGGCCCTCTTCACTGTGACTCCCAAGCGTCTCCAGGCTAATGCTGCTGCTCGGGGGGTTGGAAGGAAAGTCCTCACCCACACCCTGGAGGCCTTCAGCTTCCCCTTCTTCCTCCCCACCACGGGGATGACGATGGATGGACTTTCTCTTGGCCTTTTCATACACCTCTGGCTTTTTATCCACTGATACCTCTTCTGGAGAATAGCCTTGAAGTTTCTCTCCAGGGCCCTGGGTAGGTTCCTGATAGTCGGACTCATCTTGGGGCTCAAGCGAATCTTTCCTTCTGTGGGCGGATTTACTTCTCCGTTTACCTGGTTTTTCAGCCTCATTCTCAGAATCCTCCCCCTCAGTGGGTTTGTGCTCATGAGGCAAAGGAACCTCCTTGAAAGCCTGGCTAGTGGAAGCAAAATCTACTAGGTCACTGTTAAATTTTGAGGCCTTTAACGGTATGCCTTCAAAATATTCTTCTTTATCCATATCTTCTACAGTCATCAGGTTAACTTTGATCTCCAAGGAATTGGCCAAAACAGTATTTTCTTCAAGGGGTGCAGGAGAATGACTTTCTTCACCGTGGCTAGCTGCACTCTCTAGGGCACCATTGCAGGAAGAATTCGGGGAAGACTGAGAATTATCAATTGTACCATCTTCCAAGGAGACATCACCGGGTACCTGGTCAGAGGTGAATTCTAGGGTCTCTGAAGATTCCTGTTTTGGCTCCTTTTCCTCAGTAACCTCAACTGCCAGGGTGGGTCTACTCTGCTTCAACACGTCTTTGGTTGCCCTTGGACTCCCCTCAAAGCGGAAATCTTGATTATAGAAGGGATCCTTGCTGCAGGAAGCCTCCTTGCAGGTGTCAGCCTCAAAGTGAACAGTTTTCTTGATTGGCAAAGAGCTGTACCTCCGGCTGTCCTTCTTGGATGATAAAATGGAAGATTCTGGAGATGGCTCATTGATGCTGGTGGTCTTACCTAAGCCCCCTTGGAGGACCTCATCAATGATCTGGTGCATGAACTCCGTGGAGGTGTCTGACAGTGAGTGGCCGGAAACACCATCCAGGAAGAATTCCTTCATACTCTCAGGCTTGTCACAGACAAAGACTTTGGAGGGTGGTGGGTGGCTGGTTTCATGGTTAACAGTATAGGCACGTTCCCCATTTTCAGTTAGAACAAAGATTTTGCTCTCTTGTTCAGAGGGAGTTTCTTTGATACGGACAAAGGTGGATTCAATAGGAGCTTCTTTATCAGAATCTAGAATATCCTCCTATAAAAAGAAAAAGAAAACATACACACAGGACAGCATAAATTAAGAATGTTCAAGTACAACCTACATCTACCTCTCAAAACACACACAAAAAGACAAGAAAAGCCACTTCAAAAGCAATGCAAAGTGTTGTAATTAAGATGTAAGTGGTTATAAAAGACTCATTCCCGCTAAAATGTGAAAACAAAAGATAAATATATAAAATACCATTTTTTAAAAGCTCTGGCAGCAAAGAAATCTCAAGAAACTAAACTCTAAAGAAGGATGACCCTTCTTAAGTGAGTAGATTTCAGCTGCTTCATACCCAAGGATCATTGCCTAGGCTAGGTATGGACTTGCAGGTGGGCCCATCCACTTGACGTTAGATAAGATCAGACAAATCTTTATTGATTATGTGGGCTGGCAGGAGAGACCAAATGTGGAAGGTCTCCAAACACAAAACAATTCTCTAAATATGCTCATTATCTCATTCAGGGACTTCTGCTATGTAACAGCCAGCTGGAGAACAGGGCTGAGAAACAGAAAATCACCTTGATGACACGGCAGTGCTTGTGTCCCAGTGCAGTGACAAATAGAGGGAATTGACCTCATCCTCAAAATGTTTGAAACCAGAGAGCAAAAATTAAATAAAACTGCAACATAGCTCCTATCAACTTATGATATGATCAAAGTGAGAAGTTCTTCATCTTAGGTCAGTGGTTCTCAACCTTCCTAATGCTGCGACCTTTTAATACAGTTCCTCATGTTGTGGTGACTCCCAAACATCAAATTTTTTTCATTGCTACATCATAACTATAATTTTGCTACTGTTATGAATTGTAATGTAAATATCTAATATGCAGGATGTATTTAGGCGACCCCTGTGAAAGGGTTGTTCGACCCCCAAAGGGGTTGCAACCCACAGCTTGAGAACCGTTGTCTTAGGTGCTCATTTGGAAAAGGGCTATATTGGCTTGGGTGTATTGGCTTGCCAGCCACATACACTGATGCTGACAGGTTCAAACCCAGCCCGGGCCAGCTAAACAACAACGACAACTGCAACAACAACAAAAAATAGCTGGGCATTGTGACAGGTGCCTTAGTCTCAGCTACTTGGGAGGCTGAGGCAAAAGAATTGTTTAAACCCCAGAGTTTGAGATTGCTGTGAGCTGTGATGCTACAGCACTCTACTGAGGGTGACATAGTGAGACTCTACCCCCCCCCCAAAAAGAAAAAGAAACAAAGGGCTATATTCTCTGAGGAGAAAAATATCTACTTTAATCTCTATTACCTTTTATACACAAGACTCAAAATAAAAATAATTCAAGATGTGAAGTAGCAGGAGAATGAAATCCATAATCAAGAGAAGCAACAGTCACTAGAAGTTGACCAACCTATGACCCAGGGTTAGCAATGGCAAACACTCTAATCTACATTACACAAAATACAGAGATAGTTCCTTATGCTGAATGGAAAGGATCACAGAGGGAAGGCTGGAGCTTAAGCAGGGAATGAATAGTCCCTGAAATGGTAATTGTATGATCAGTGTAAATGACTATTTAAGTTTTCATAAAAAGCTTATGGACTGTTTAAAGCAAAAATACTAACACAGTATTGGAGATTAAAATATATGTAGAAGTAAGTGACAATAACAACAAAAGGAATGGAGAGGTGTGTAGAATTACACTATTGCTGATATAAAAATACATAAAATATGCATTATACTTAAAGTAGTAGCACTAACTTAAGGTAGGCTCAGGTATGTTAAAGATCAGTATTGTAATTCCTCGAACACCTACTAAAAAGATAAAACAAGATGTGGCTACAAAACCAATAAAGGAGATAAATGGACACCCCCCCCCCAAAAAAAACCCATACTTGAACAGTCCAGAAATGTTATGAAGGAAGGGTAAAGAAACATAGAACAGATTGGACTAATGGAAAACAATAATCAAGATGGTAGATTAAACCCACATAAACAGATGAAAAACACACTAATTAATTGACGAAACTGGTCAGAATGAATAAGAAACAAGACCCAACTGTATACTGATTATAAGAGACAAACTTTAAATATAAGTATACATACACTGAAAGGAAAAAGATGGAAAAATATATCAGGCAAACACTAATAACAAGACAGCTACATGGCTACATTCAGAAGAAGTACATTTCAAGACAGAGAAATTTCTTACAAATAAAGCAACACAACAATTTTAAATGTCTATGTACCTAACAGCCTAGCATCAACAAACCTAAAGCAAAAACGGACAGAACTAATAACAGGAGAAATAAACAAATCCATAATCATAGTTAGAGATTCGTTTTAACATTTCTCTCTTGCACTAATTCATATGAAAAGCAGAAAAACTGGTATGTATCCTGAATATTAGAATAGCATATTAAAGAACATTAGTTCTTTTTTTTTTTTTTTTTTGAGGTAGAGCCTCAAGCTATTCCCCTGGGTAGAGTGCCGTGGCATCACAGCTCACAGCAACCTCCAACTCCTGGGCTCAAGCGAGTCTCCTGCCTCAGCCTTCCAAGTAGCTAGGACCACAGGCGCCTGCCACAACGCCCGGCTATTTTTTGGTTGCAGCTGTCCTTGTTGTTTGGCAGGCCTGAGCTAGATTCGAACCCGCCACCTTAGGTATATGTGGCTGGCACCTTAGCTACTTGAGCCACAGGCGCGGAGCCAGAGCGTCAGTTCCTTACCTGCACAAGATACATTCTTTCCAAGTACATACAACATATTACCAAAAGGAAACCTTATGCTGGGATATAAAGGTAGGCAGAATGGCTGGTACAAATTCAGGGCTCAGCAAATATTACTAAAAGGAACTAATTCAGCTGAATTACTAGGAACAGGCCACTGGATATGTAGACAAGCTAAGAATTCTCATCTGCACTCCCTTGGGCTTGTAAATGGCTTGTTTTACAGTGATGCACTATATTCTGCAAACCTAGATGAAGAGGTCTTTCTCCAAATACTGTTTCCTGATCAACCTTTATTTTTCCAGTCCCAGTCTCTGACTCTAGCACTAGGGAGAGATCCAAGAATCAGATTTATTGCATCCTGGCTGTGGCCTTGGCTCACACAAATAATGTAAATTTTAGTTGATTTCAAACTGAATCTGTGTCAAACTCAAACAGATTAAGACCTCAGGGCTAACAAAAGTCTTGAGGGTTACTACTTTGGAATCTAGTAATAGGAAAAATGAACTGCAAAATAATAACAATCACAACTATTACTTTTGGCTTAAGACAACAAAAATTCATTATCTTATAGTTCTAAAGGCCAGAAGTCTGAAATAGGTCTCACTGGGCTAAAATTGAAGTGTTGGCAAGGGTTAGGTTCCTTTATTTTTATTGTATTTTAATTTTCAATCTGCAAATAACTCTCTCTCTCTCTCTCTCTCTCTATATATATATATATAAAGAAAGAAAGAAAAGGGCTATATTCTCTGAGGAGAAACATATCTACTTTAATCTCTCTCCCATATATATATATATATATATATATGAGTAATTTGCATATGCATCAGCTCAAATGTTTAGCATTTCCTTGTGCATTTCACTTCTCTTTTAGCTATTTTGAAATATATAGTACATTAAGTATACAAGTCGCTTTGCTGTGCAATGGAACGCTACACTGTATGCTTCCTATCTAATTGTTACTTTGTATCTATTGGCTAAATCACCACTACTTGCTGAACCTCAGTTGTTCAGTAATAGGTACTTCATATTTCTGTTTATTCTTCACATAACCCTAAAACGCAGGCAATATTTCTATTTTACAGATGGATGTGATAGAGATGTGATTCAGAGAGCCCAAACAGTCAGCTCGAGGGCACACAGCTCCAAGTGGCACAACGGCCTGGGAATTCCTCTTTCCAAAGTGCCCTGAGAATTGTTCTGGGTGCAGAGACAGATGAGAAACACACGCAGGTTGGGGCCAGAATAAAGGCTCTAGCCCCAGAGCAGCCAGTGTGGCTCTTCTGTGCAAAATGTATGTCATAAGGGGCCTAATAGCCTGAGTTTTGGAACCACAGAGATCTGGGGTCAAACCCTAGCTCTGTATTTGGTAGCTGGGTAAGCCTGGAGAGGTGTTTAAGCCTCTCTGCACATCCTTATCCTCATCTATAAAAAGAAGATAATAAAATAGCCATGGCGGACTGTAGGAACAGAGAGACACAGGCACAGTTACATGACTGGTCTCTGAGAAAAACAGTAGTCCCCCTTCCATACATGCAGTCTTTACCGCTTTGTGCTCTTTTTTTCTGTCCAGTACTCACAACTACCCGAAATTACATTTTTGTAGCCTCTTTAACTGTGTCCCCTATTAGAACAAAGCTACACAACATCAGGGACCTTATCCATCTGGTTTACTGCTGAGTCCCCTGAGCCAGGAGTAGGTGTTCAGTAAATTAACAGTGAGCCCAAGAAAAGGCTGCTGTTGTCATTGATATTGTCATCTCAGGGTTGTGGACGGGGTAGGTGGGACTTCATTGAAGCCACGACAATTTCTAAGACGTCCGATTCTCTTCCGAAACAATCTGCCACTGAGTATAACCTAGGATTTTTAAAAATAAAGAGGTGGTCTTTCGAATGATCACCGTCTTTTCTAATTTTTAACACTGATAAAATCTGGTAGACTGCTAGCACCTTCCACCTGACATCTAACAAGTCAGGCAGCCAATCCATGTTATAAGTGAGCCTCTTTCATAATGTGCTCGGGAAGAGGTTTATGAGAGGGGCAACTTCTTGTCCTGCTTTTAGACTTCATATATATTATATATTAGTTGCCCCCCATTTTCCAAAGTTTCACTTTCCAGAGTTTCAATTGGAAACTCACAGTCAACTGTGATCTGAAATAGTAAGTAAAAAATTCCAGAAATAAACAATGTGTAAGTTTTAAATTTCATGCCATTCTGAGTAACATGAAATCTCTGATCATCCTGCTCCCACCCTGCCTGGAACATGGCTCCTTCCCTTTGCCCTTACATGTCTAAGCTGTCTTCACTACCCATCCCTTAGTCACCAGTAACTGTCTTGGTTATCAGATTGACTGTCGGGGCATCACAGTGCTGTGTTTATGACACTTTTATTTAACTCAACAATGCCCCCAAAGTGCATGTTGGCATACTGCTATAATTATTCTATTATTACTTATTATTGTTGTTAATATCTTATTGTGCTTAATTTATAAATCAAACTTTATCGTAGGTATGTATGTATAGGAAAAAAAAGGTATACATAAGTTTCAGTACTCTCTGAGGTTTTAGGCATCCACTGGGGGTCTTGGAACATAACCTCTGTACATAAGCAGGTGGCTACTGTCATTCTGAAACCAAAATGTGGCTAGGAAATGCTCAGGGGATTTGAGGTCAACTTTTGGAGCAGAATTTGATGTTTGCAAAGTTGTCATAGCTCCACTGAACTCCCTGCCCAAGTTCAAGATGATGACATCATTGACAGCAACAACAGCCTCTTCCTGGACCCACTGTTAATTTACTGAACACCTACTGCTGGCTCAGGGGCTCAGCAGTAAATTTATCATTACTGGTTATACATCCCAGCTTCATCTGATTGCCAGTGGATGGAACTATATGACTTCTGCATTAAAGGAGGTAAAACAACAACAACAAAAAGAACAAAAATACATACGGCTTCCAACTCTGGAAAACGTTCTAGAAACTGTGCCACGTAAGTCACGATAGACTGCTCATCCGGCGTGTCAACCATGATATCTGTTAAGAGAGACACAGGAATTAGCAGGAGACAGGAATGTATAACATTCAGTAGGATTCTACAGCCCTTGTTCAAGAAGGATCTCTTCAATTATTGGGAATTGTTCTTTATATTTTCTCCCCGAGGAAATTTAGGCTCAGAGAGAGTAAAATCTCACAGCTGCCTGATGAACAGAAGAGCTGGGATGTAAAATCTAAGGCTCCTTTTGCCCCATATTCTGTTCATTCTGCCCTGGTATTTCAGTTCTTCCCCTGTGAGCAAACAGCTCACTGCTGGGTCTGCGGACAGGTCTGGTGAACCAGGCACATGATGCAAAGAGCCCTAAGGTAGCCCAACTCACCTGGACTACAATTTGGCAGAGATAGCCAAACATCTCTAAAAGGCACATTCTCCCTTAACTCTATCACTCTCTACTGGAACTCGGCCTTAAAGGAATACTCTGAGGTGCACGCTGAGCTCTATTCACTCATAGCTCAATAAGAAGCTCACTGCAGTGAGCTTCTGAATATTTCTGGAACAACCTCGATGTCAACCAGTAGTGAAAGAGCCAAGTAGATTTTAGTATGCCCACTACATGGAACTATTTTGCAGCCAAGAAAAATCTATAATGAAGACATTATTAGCAATATGCAAAACACTTGTGTCATATTATGATGTTAAGTAAAAAAAGGCAAAATTATACATACACCAAACAATACCACTTACATAAAAATATAATTAAATGCATACAAATATTTGAAAAATATATGATCTGAACGATAGAAAGACATACAAATGTCCTTTAAAAAATTTTGGATTAATATAAGGGTATATACAATTGGGTTACATTGGTTGCATTGGTTTAGTAGTGCTCTTCACCCAGGACGTGGGCCGTAGACCCCAACATTGTACCCATGAGGTGGGAGCTTACTGAGCCCTTTCCCCGTCCCTCTATTGGAATTTCACTGTGTTTTTCTCTAGGGTGGCCTTGTTCATTTTACTAGTTTCAAATTAGTATTGAGTACATAGGGTGCTTGCTTCTCCATTCTTGAGATACTGTACCAAGAAGACTGTTCTTTAACTCCATCCAGGTAAATACAAAAGATGTAAACAGGAGATATCCTGTATAAAAATGTCTTCATTTGATTTTTCTGTATTTTCTAAATTCTCTACATGGAACAGCAGGTAGTACATTCATAATAAAAATCATTAGAAAGTGGGCAGTACCTGTGGCTCAGTGAGTAGGGCGCCGGCCCTATATACTGAGGGTGGTGGGTTCAAATCCCAGCCCCACTCAAATTGCAACAAAAAATAGCCGGGCCTTGTAGCGGGTGCCTATAGTCCCAGCTACTTGGGAGGCTGAGGCAAGAGCATTGCCTAAGCCCAGGAGTTGGAGGTTGCTGTGAGCTGTGATGCCAAAGCTCTCTACTGAGGGTGATAAAGTGAGACTCTGTCTCTAAAAAAAAAAAAAAAAATTAGAAAGAAAGAGAGTGGGTGAGAACCACTGTTACCTTCTGGCTCCAGGAGCCTGGGGATGTGCAGGGCATCCTGGGCGATGCTGAAAGCCTTCTCTAGATTTTCTCGCATGGAATCTTCCAAGGCCTGTTTCATGTCCACCAGGCTGGGGTCGATGGCCTTGATCACAGCCAGGAAAGCCAGCCCACTCCTCCAGCTGCCCGCAAAGTCCTGCACTGCCACGCCATATCTGGAGGAAGACAACAGCGGCAGCCACAACATAGGTTAGCTAATGGACACACAGGGAGCAGGGCAGCACGTGGCAGCCTGGTGCGCCTCTGAGTGGGGCCAGAGCTGCTGAGCTTGCCAGGCAAAGGTGCCCTGGCCCCGGAGCACCTGCAGAACTGCTCTGGCCACTTTCATTTCCATTTCCAGACAAATGGGATAGGAGGGTATATGTTGTACAAAAAGGAACCACAGGACCATGTTCCTAAGTCCCTAGATATATACCAGGAGGCCATAAAGTTCTTGGGCAATTTAAGTTCATGTGTACATGAACTGTGTAAAAGACAAGTCCTATTCAGTGCTCATTTTATCCCATGTCAGTGACACTAGAAACATAGCAAACAAGGATATGCCAGGCAATAACAACACAGCCACAAAGGCACAAGTTTACACTTCTGGGCCCACTGCATGCTCATAGCGCTGTGGCCGTGGGCAAGTCACCCTCCCTTTCTGAGACTCCTCAGGTATAAAACAGGATCATCACACAGTGATCTTGTGGGGAAAGGGTAGGTTGAGCTCCCAAGAACAGTTGTGTCATATGGCTAACCTAATGGGCAATGCTAGTAGCCCACAAAGCCACTTACTAAGTGATGGCTACTGTCATGTCTAACACAGAGAGAACTATCATTTTAAAAGTGAGCGACAGAAGAGGAGACATGGTGCCAGGCACTAATTTCCTTTAGAATGTATTCCTAAGATACCACTGATCTCGCAACTGTGGTTGCTGAACTGTACTAAAGAAAAAAAATCCCAAAGCCTTTTTATTTAGAAATCATTTAAGACCCATAAGAAATTGCAAACACAGTACATAGAGTCCCTGTCCACTCTTCCCCCAACTTCCTTCAATAACTGCATTTTACATTACTAGAATATATTATCCAAACCAGGACATTCACATTTATCTAAAATAATTATTAACTAAGCTACAGATGATATTTGAATCTCACCAGTTTTCACACGTCCTCAATGTTCACTGCACTGGTACAGATTCACGTAACTGTCCCATCACCCTAAGACCCCTCCTCTCCTTTACAATCACACACTCTTTGGACCTTAACTCCTGGCAATAAGCTCTCTTTTCGTTGATTTATTTTTAACAACTTTTAATGATTGTTTGCAATTGTCAGCTCTTAATCCATATACCAGGGAGAAGGGAACTCATATTTGCGAAGTGATTATGGACTGGCACTGTGCAAGGTGCTTTCACAGATTTTATTTCATTTCATCCTAACTATTCAGGAAGGCAGTGAATGATGACAAGTTACCATTTTGCAGATGAAGCTCACAGAGCTAAGTGATTCACTGGAGACCAGGATCAGACCAGGATCTCAACTGGTCTGTACGTAGCACAGCCGGGGAAGCCCCAGGTTGGTGTGGTCACCACCACACAGCTCAGGGGCTGTTGGCCCATTGCTGGTAAAAGGCTTGAATACGTGACTGCTGAAATCTCCCCTGCCCTCCCCCCCTCCAGTTGCTGGTATGGGGTCCAAGAAGGGCTGGAACTTATCTCCAGTTCACCTGACTTGCTTTTGGAAGTTCAAACTTAACCTCAGGTATGTTAGCCTTTGTATTATTATTGTTAAAGTAGGTACAGACTCTGGAAGTTAGCATGATGAAGTTAGCATGATGGAAGCCCCTATGATTTTTATTCAAATCCTCTTACCAGCTTTTAGCAAATCCTCTCACCAGCTTTTTGCAAACTAAACATTCTCCAAAGTACATTTTTTTATTTGCAAAAATTGAAAAAATATGCATAGTGCTTCCCTATTCTGATCGTCTATGAAGCACCCAGCACAAATGTAACTGGGTCCTTAGAAAATATTAATTCTGTTTTCCTTTGACCACCCCAGGGAAAGGGGTGCTCTTCCTTCTGCCTGAAAACAGCTTATTAAACAAGGTGGTGGGGTGGGCTGTGGCTTACTTCCTCGTCTTCCTCTGCACCCATGCCAGCAGGGTCTTGATGGCCTTCCTCTGGTCTTTCACTGATATTGCCACACTCCTCTCTGTGGTGGGTGTGGGTGGGAATGACGAGTCTGAGTCTGTGCCCCCTGGGCTGGGTGAGAGGCTGGAAGATGGAGAGTTTCTGCTGAGGTTGCCCGTGAGCTCCTTTATCTGGAAGGAAAATGGCATTTCAGATCCCAGCGATGAGTGACTTCCCAGCATGTCAACCCTGGCTGGAGGGATCAGCTAATGCAGAATCGCCTCTCTTGATAGAGAAACCCCGTTCCGATGGCTGTGGCTGGCAGTATGTGCAGTTACCTTCTATGGGAAAGATTATCTCCAGGACTCTCTCCAGCTCTAGCCAGCCACTGCACACAAGGTCATGCTCACCTGACTCCACCTGCCCCCTCCTCCCAGTGCCCATCACTGATGTATCATGCATCAGGCCTCTCCTCATCCTGGTCCTGCTGCCTGGATGTCCTGCCCCTCCATCTCTGAACTCCTATCATGGGGATATTTGTAGGAAATGCAGAACCCCAGGCCCTGCCCCAGACTTACCTACAGAATTAGAATCTGCCTTTCAATACCTCCCACAGGCAGTATGTATGAATAGTAAGTTTGAGAAGGACTGGTGTAGTGGCCTCCTACACATCCTTCAAAACCCAGCTTTGATGTCACTTCTTCCAAGAAGTTTTCCTCATTCCCTTCCCACATTTGAGCTGGCTGCCCCTGCTTGGACCTCTTACACATCCTGCTCATACCTTGATCATGGCCTGCACCATAGAGTTCTACAATACGGGATTAACTTGTTTGTGATCCTTGAGGGTTAGGAGGACAGGGCCTTATATGTCCAACATCTGGTGCCTCAGAGAAACTCAATAGACATTTACCAAATAAATGAATGAAGCTCTAAGATGAATTTAAGGTCTTGACTTTTAACACATTTTCAGAATGTTTCCAGAATCTTTCAAGGAGTTTAATAGCAGATAAGCAGATAGTAGTTCAAGTACCCTGTGTATAGCACTGACCAGTTGACAAAGGGTTTTCCATGAGGCTTCTCTTGCTATTCATCACATACTGTGTGTGATCACTGCTCCCATTTAACAGTTATGGAAACTGAGGCTCAGAGAGAAAGCCTTTGTTTTTTTAAGTTCAAGGCTCACCCAGAATGGGATCTCTTCTCTCCAAACCTTGTTTGTACTCATTCCTCTCCAAGACACACATATTCAGCCAAAAGTCTGAGCAAATTGTCCCCACATGGACCATTTTTATCCTTGGGAAGGTAAGCAAAAAATGAACCATCACTTCACCCCTCCTAGTCAGGGAAATGTTTAAGTACAATTTAAAATGCCATCTTCTTACACCAAGCACAGGGCCACTCCTTCCTCCATAAAATCTGCATTTCCAAACACAGGCTGAAGTTGCAAAGGGTGAAACAATGAAGTCTCGCCTGTTACATGCTCCTCTTCCTACGGTATCTTTTTTTCTATTTATTTTCCTTAGATTCCTATTGGTCAAACCTACCCAGGGCATCTTTAGTACACATTCTTTAATCACCTCTAATAAGCACGTGGGTCATTTTAGGAAAGTAACTTTACCAAGTCCCATTTTTGGTTCGAAGCACTTCCCCAGTTCTTGTGACACTTCAGAACAAAGGTACTTTTCAAAGTAAATATTTAACTCTTTTTATTTTATTTTATTTTATTTGTAGTTTTTGGCCAGGGCCTGGATTGAACCCACCACCTCCGGTATATGGTGATGGCGCCCTACTCCTTTGAGCCACAGGCGCCGCCCAATATTTAACTCTTCAAATCCTCAGAGGACGGGTCTTATTTTCTAGAGAACAAAGCTCACACCACTTTTGAGATCACAGGGACTCAAACGTTTTAGCAATGAGGTTCCTCAGGATCTTTTTTGGTGAACAAAAAAGACAAAAATCTGCCGAAAACTAAGTCTCACTGCCTCCTGTGATCTGGCCCTACTCTGTTCTGTTGGCGTTCAGTTGATTCAAGATAGTTACTGTGTGTTGTCACAGAAAGGAAATTACTTTACCTGGAAGAAGAGAATTATGTTCCATATCAGTCCAAGAACCAAAGAGGGGTTGCCATCTGCTATTTCTGCTGCATCAATGCTAACCAGTTTTACCTAGAGGGAAGCAATTCATGAGCTTGAATGGGGGTGTCCAGGAAGGTTAACACATAGTATTTTCTGGTGCCCGCATGGGCCTATTTCTCTTGTTTACCCTGCCACTCTCAGGCACACTCAGCATGCAAAAATATATTTAATGAACAGTTATGTGGTGCTTACCATGTGCAGGCACTATCCCAAACTCCTTACAAGTATAAACCAAGTTTATCCTCACAGAAACCCTATTATGTAGGTACTTCTGTTAGTCCTGTAATTCAGGTGAGGAAGTTTCAGTGGGGGCAGGTCATACAGCTAGTGAGGTTCGGTCATTCTTTTCCAAGGAGAGATGGCAAATGCCCAATTGGTCTGTCTACTGCACTAACACCAGCAAATGGATTTAGCATGTCCTTGGGATAAACACAGAGCACCAACATGAGCAGTCATGGACTGTGGATGGATAAGTCTGCTGCTAATTAGACATAGTGTGCTGGGATAAGGTTTATACACCCAGGGTTTCTGCACCATTACAAAATATCCTACTAATTGGTAATAACATGCCTAGTGTAGAAACCTTAGGGAATGACCTATGTATTTAACTATGTTCTGACTATAGAATGACTCTCTTGGCAAACCCCTAAAGCCAAGTTGGACCCTAGACCAGAAGCATCAGCACCACCTGGGCACTGGTTAGAAATGCACATTCTCCCCAGACCTAGGTATTCAGGACCTCCGGAGGTGGGGCCCAGCAATCTACATTTCAACAAGTGACCTGAGTAATTCTGATGCATACTTAGGTTTGAGGATCTCTGCCCTAAGTCATCATTTCATTCTGCAAACAAAATCTAAGTACTGTACATAGATCAGGTTCTGCGAACTCCTCTAGAGAAAGTCAGAGAGTAAATATTTAAGGCTTCGCCAGCTCTAACAGTCTCTTTCATATTTTCTTCTACTTTTTAAGGAGCCCTTAAAAATGTAAAAATCATTCTTCAGGGGTTAGAGAGGAAGAATAAAGTACATTGAGATATATTTTCAGACCCACACTGCAAAATTCTGCTTGGTCAGGAAAGAAAACCTGAGAACAGCATCTCGGGCAAACACTTTTCTTTTTCCTCCACTCCTTTCTTCTCCCTTCCCCTTGTGGCTCTTTAAACCGTTTGACATCAGTCTCTGATCCTATCAGTTTGTCATGGGTTTCCGACAGCACCAATCAGTAAGGCCTGGGCTCACTTAATGAAGTGAGACGTCTGGGTTTCCTGGCTAAAGTCTGTTTTGCAGGCTGATGCCAAGAATATAATTCAGACAACACAGGCTCATCACCAGCAGGTTGGAGGCCAGGAAGGAAGTTGTCAATATTGTGAGTAACACAGCCGATCAAGTTCAGGTCCAATATTCCACCCACATTCATCACGAGCGCACGTCCTATGTGATGAATCACTTGCCAGTCTTGGCCTGCTCGACTCCTAAAGCTCTGCCTCTGACAGTCCCTCTGTCTTTGTAGCTTGCTGAACACATTCCAGTTCAGGGGAATTAAAGCAGGCAGTCAATTGGATCATCCTGGCTCTTGCCCCGAACTGGAGGAAGCCCAAATGGCAAGTGACAGCTATGGCCCTCTGAGCTGAGGTTCCAAAGTGAGAGAAAGACAGAGCTGCCTTGTAGGGGTGCCACAAATATAAAGGTGCACCATCCCGAGAAGAGGAGGAAGGTCAGGCAGGGAGCAGGTGGTTCTTGAGAAGACCATTTAGAGAATAAGGCACTCTCCTGGCCACGAGGTACAGAGAGGCTGGCAGAGGGAAGGTGATCACTGCAGGTGGTAGCTTAAGGGCCCAAGGAGCAAATATTTCCAGAGACCTTGCCTTGCATGCCCAGCCACTTGTTTTGCTTTGGGGGTGATCAGACAACTTAACAGACTTCAGTGAAGAACTTTAGGGACAAAGTCTTCCTCTTCTTCCTAACTCAGCTGGTTTTGCCAGATGGAAAACAGGCGGACCAAATGGTCAGGCATATTCGTTCTCCCTCTCTGGGCTGGCACATCTAGGGAGATAACTCAGGGGCCTGGTGAGTGAAAATGGCCATGATGATAATGGCTTCCTCTATGGAGCACAAACTGTCAAACCTGCTGACAGGTCTTCACAGGTTAGTTTCTTTAATGCTCAAAATACACCCATTTCATAGATGAGGAAGGTGCAAAGGGGTTGAATGACTTGCAGGAGCTCACAGAGCCAGTTCTGTGGGGCAGCCTACCTCTGACAGGGGAGAAAACACTCTGCCCAGTGGCACGCATTTGTGGAGAGACAGGAAGACACGGATGGCGACAGCCACTGACTGCACCCAGGTCCTGGCTGCTGTGTGGCATTGATCGCCCAGCTCTGGGCACTGTTTGTCCCTTCCTAGGGTGGGGACAGTGGGACAGGAAGGCACTTGCAAGGGGCCCCTGAGTGTTTTGTGGATCCCAGGAACGAGACCAAGACTGCATCTGACATGCACATTTCCACTTGTGTCACTCTGCTGCGCTCACCTTCCCACTGGGGCAGTCACCTGTCCTGGAAAATGGGGCCAAGTGGGGCACAAGGCTGACAAAATACATTCATATTGGAATATTTCTAGATGTTTAAAAAAATAAGAGAGGGAGAAGATGTTCCTTTAATGTTCTATTGAACTGCGAAGCCACTGTTGCAGACAGTTTGGAGATATTTTCGGATGCACTGCAGAAGGGCAGGCCTTCCCCAGCCTTTACAGTGCACTTCCACATCGCCACGCCTGCACACCGGCTAGTCCCTGGCCCTGGCTCAGCTGTCCTCTTTTTTCCTGTGCAGGTCATCCCTCCTTTTCTTACCTTGATGTGACATGCAATAGTTTGTGAGGCCTCGTCTCCCTGACCTAAGCACTCCGAAGGCACAGTTATATTTCTAACTTGTTTCTTTGTCCCCAGTTCTGAGCACAGCCTTGGACCCACAGAAGACACCTGGCAAATGTGATCTAAATGACGGCTGGAAGTGAACCTGCGACTATCTGGGTAGTTGTGACTAATGCAGTAGAAGAGCTGTGCCTACATTCTATCAGACTTGCCTGCAGGGGCAGCTGAGCGAGTAAGCGTATTCAGAGGCCCACAAGGCAGAAGGAAGAGCAAAAGCTTTGGGGCAGCTATTTGAAGGCCCCACATTATTATGACAACCAGGCCCCTTCACAGCTCAGGAGTAGACACTGCTAAGAAGAGCCACCTGTAATGCTTGCTCCTGGGAGCAGGTGGGTGTCAGGAACATCACAGTCAACCAAGTGGGGTAACATAGCAGGGGCTGGAGCCCACGGGGTCCCCACTCTGTGCTGGCATGTGGCCAGCCCCTACAGGACAGGCAATTCATTTCTCAGCAACTCTCCCAGGGAGGTTTTGCTTTTATCCCGCCTATTTTACCAATGTGGAAACTGAGGCCAGACAATTTACATGGCCTCAGTTCCTGGAAGTGAGGGAGAAGCCAGGATTGGAAATAGACGCAGTTGTGCTCTGGAACTGCTGGCCCATGTCAAGCAGAGCTGTCAATTTAACTGACTCTACGGAAGGGGAGCCTTTTCATGCAGAGGGGTGCGCTCTCCTTTTAAACAGCTTTATGGAGATGTCATTCACATCTCACCATATTTGCCCCGAGTGCACAGTTCACTGGTTTTCAGAGCACTCACAGATATGTGCGAGTGTCACTCTGGTCAATTTTAGAACATCTTTATCCTCTCTCAAACACCCATCCCTGTAGCTGTCACCCCTCATACCTCATCTCCACACAGCTCTAAACAACCACAAATCTACTTCTGTCACTAGAGACTTCCCTGCCCTGGACAACGTACTTTATGGAACCAGATGACTATGGGGTCCCTTGACTCCAGATTCTCTCACTGAGCATGCTTCCGAGGGTCATCTGGGCTACAGCACATATTGGAGCTTCATTCTTTTTTAAGGCTGTCCATTGTACGGACAGATGACATTTGATGTCCCAGGTGTCTGTGGATGGACACACGGGTTGTTTCTGCCTTTTGGCTACTGTGAATTGTGCTGCTATGAACTGTGATGTGATTTGAGGCTGTCACATTCTGAGCCTTCCCCCATGTCTGGAATCCAGGCTTATCAGCCATACAGTCCTGTCTAAGCCTTTGAATCTGAACATGTGATGCTGAGACGTTGGTGAAATAGAGAGTTCCTTCCCCACGTGGTGGTGGGGCTGCCAGAGGTGGTGGGGGTGGAGTAGTGGGGCTACACTCACACCATTCCTCCAGAGGGACTCTGCAGGGGTCCCGGTGCTCTGCATCCCTGGGTTCTGTCCCCAGTTTCCCAGTCTTTCAAGTCATCCTTAAGCTACTCAGTGTCTTCTCGACAAATCTCTGTTCTCTTAAATCAGCCAAAGTCAGCTTCTGTTACTTACCATGAGGAACCTGGAACGAATCACGTCTTAGGATAAAAGTTTTACTCTGCGTGCCCATGTGTCAAGGAAGCTGAGTTTGTTTCTTTTTTTTTAAACTTATATTAATTGATGAAATCTAATGAAAGGGGAGCTTTGGAACATCAGCTCTCTTGGGCCACCTCTTCCCATTCCTGAAAGGCTTGAAGCAGAGTTCCAAACACAGAATCAGGGAGGGATGTAACTTTTAAAGAGAAAGTTTTACACTCTGACATGTTCCCCATCCTTTTTGTCAAGGCAATGGAGAAAAAAGAGTTTTCCACTAAATTCTAAAAATCTGGGAGCTAGTCAGCTGCTCTGCCCTTTCCGTGGCTGAACATCAGAGTTTTCATCCTGAGAGACTGAACACATCAGGGAGGGATTCAAGGACCATATTCCCAACTGGTGGGTTGCCTAAGTGGTTTCTATTAAATTTAAGCTCAGTTTGACTCAGTCCCCTTTCACACTTCTCTTAGCAACCAGCTCTAAACTTCAAATGATGTCCTCTTTGCAACAGGACAAGTTTGTGTTCATGAGATGTGCTTCAAACACTTACATTGCTATCTTCCAAAAACTTAAGTGCTTTCGCTATGTTGTTCAACCGAAAAATACGATGCGACGAGGATTTGTATTCGTGCAGCTACAAAATAAAACAGAATGAAACAAGCAGATTCAACCAACACAGGCGCTTCAGAACGCCCACCGGTGCCGACGGGCGTGCTTTTCTTCTTCTTTATCTTTTCCACATTAATTTCAAGAAAAAGTTAGAGGCTCATAGCTAAAGCCCACCTGGACTACATCCCAACTCATACAGGTGCGTCTCGGGACCTTCAGTGGAACATCAGAGGGCCCTCAACATCAGCCTTATTTACAGTACTTGGAACTTAATTCACGGGAGCTGGTGAATGGGGGGGAAATGGAGTAGGCTAACAAGGGACAAATTTGTCAAATTTTTCTCTCTGCTCTGGCTCCTGGCTTGTTAGACTTCCCTCTTCTCCAGAGACTTTGGTATCATGTTCTCCCCACTGAACTGATGCTTTTGTTAAGGCAGGGCGCACCGGCTGTCAGCATCGCTGCTCAGCGGCTAAATCATCCAGCAAAGACCCTCCCCAGTGGCAGCAGATGTTTCTGTTTTCTGGCCCAGAGTTTTGTGGACAGTTATCCCGGGCACATACGCAGAGAGAAAGACAGAGACACAGAGGGTGGGTCTGCAGAAGCAAAGCCACCAGAGCAAAGCTATCTCGAATGGAAGCTCCCAGTGCTCCCGGGTCGGGGTGGGGGTTCTACCAGGTGTGAGCTGTACCAGGCCATGCTAATGGGGAAGAGCAGGCCTGTTCTAGACTCACTTCCAGAAGCAAAGACTCCCAACAGAGACCCACCAAGGACATGGCAGCTTGTGGCTAGTGCTATGGCAACAAATAGGGAGGCTGTGTTGCTGGGAGCACAGAACAAGGAATCAGAACAGACTTTTTCAGGAAGCTTTTTGGGGACATGCTGCTGGCTCATTGCAACACTTGTTAAGAAACCAAATACTATCTTTGCTGCGATGAATGTGTCCTTCATCAGAATTCATTACACAACTTTGCACAGCCCCTCTGAGTGTGGCTAACAGGCCTCTCCCATTTTGCTGTCAGGAAAGCTAAGGTGGGAAGGCTTAAGAGGTGTGACAAGATTCCAGCTACACTGTATCTGAGAACAGAAGTATGGATTCTTGACTTTGAACTTATAGCAAAAAGTAGATCTGGAGAGCTCTGAGATGGCTGATTATGATTTGGTAGGGCTGTGACTCCATCACTGCACCTTTGTGTTAGGCATGATGGGTCACCTAGGCCAAATCCAATACTTGGCTCTAGAAGGGGGGCTTCTCAACCTTGACGCTCCTGGTGCCATGGATAGGATCAGTCTGATCAGTCTGTGCACTGGATCAGGGAACATTGGGCAACGTCTGCAACATTGTTGGTTCTCACACCTGGGGGTGCTACCGGCATTTATCAGTTAGATACTAAACATCCTACAATGCACAGGCCAGCTCCCTACAGTGAAGAACTAAACGTCACCTAAATGTCACCAGTGCCAAGGTTGAGAAACCTGCTTTATGTGAAGAGGACAAGAAAGGCTACACAGTAGACATATGAAATATAAAAGGTTTGGTTACACTCGAAATGGAATGCATGTCAAGATCAGCTGGCTTTATGCAACCTCGAGTCATACTTAAAAGAATGTTCTAGAAGCAAGCAGTTCTAGTTTTTAGGCTTAGGGTGAATGAATAATAGAATTTGGTTGATAAGAGGCCTTTCTCTTTATTTTTTTCCAATAGCCAATTCTTGGCTATCACTTTAACTAATGTAATGGCTGGCTGTCTAAATTTTAACTGTGTAGTTCTAAGCGTAAGCCTTAACAAACTTAGAAAATACTTGACATTTACTTATTTACTAAAACATATTTGCTTTAAGAAAAACAGATACTGCTTAGTTACACATGATTATATCACGCGGGGTCACTGGTAAAGGAATGTCACCCTTCAAAGTCTCCTGTTACAGAACTTGGGCATGTCCAGGTGTGGGCTCACACACATACATCTGCATTGAAAAGAAATCTTCAGCAGTTGTTTTCCTTGGCATTTTACTTTTTCCTGACTCTTTTGTGACATACGTACCAGATTTCGCCCAGACAGGACTTCTAACAAAGCCATTAGGATTTTGCCATCTTGTATGTCAACAAATAAATCTTTAACTTCTAGAGGTGGGTTGCACTATGAAAGAGAGGGGAAGAAAGTAGCCAATTAATGACCGGTGTAATCCACAAAACCATTTCAGAGGTGCAGGTTTCCAAGTAAGAGAAAACTTCCAAACATCCGGCTCTGTCTATAGGTAGAAAGGAACATCCCAGGAGGTGGTAGGCTTATCCCCCTGGAAGTGACACCCAGGCAGTAGTGCATGGCTACTTGGCAGGAGACCGATCTGGAGAAGATTTAGCAACAGGTGCTTGATGGAATAAGGGCTCCTTGGGGACACTGCTAACCTAAAGCCTTACATCCCAAGATCAGATCATATACCTATTTCTGCTTATAGGTAGAAAGAAATGGCATGTCTTGACTATAGTCTTCTATAAACAAAATTATTCTATTTTATCAAAATAATTCTAACTATCTAGTACACTTCACATTTGAGGAAACTGAGGCTCAAAGAGACCAGGTGATGGTCCCAGAACTCGGTCAAGTGAGCCAGTATCCTATGTCCTGCATCAGGCCACTCTGGCTGAACACGGGCACACCCTGGCTCCATTGTGTGATGTCATGACCCTGGGGCAGTTACTCTCTAAGGCCTCAGTCTGGATTTCAGCAGGATTCCCTCCTCTCCAACACCGCTCCAGTCCCCATATGTATACTCTCCTTCATTAATATAGAGTTAAAGTCTAGAGATGGTGGGACCCTTAGCTGAGGAAGCCAGGAAAGTGGCTGGTGTGTGTTATGTGACTGGGAGGTCGGGGGTGATGTACACATGGCTGGCCTGCTGATTGGCTGGATGGCTGGGTGAAGGGGGCATGGGAAGGGAAAGGGGAAAGGGGACATTTGTAGGGTTCTTGGGAACTGAAAGGTTGAGAAATCTATTTGTATGTACGTGTATATGTTTATGTGAATTTATATGTTTGGATACAAAAGTTATACAAGCTTATTATAACAAATCAAATTAATTAAAATTATACCAAAAAAAGCTGTATGACAGCCCACCCCCTTTAATCCTCCATTAAACGCAGGCTTCCTGAAACAAACCAACATTACCTCAATGTGCACCTTTCACACAATCCAATAAAAGCAAGAGGGTTAGATACACCTGAGTTCAAATTCAGGCTTGACCCTCATCAGAAACTTGGCTTTGGCCCTATTCCTTAACCACCCTAGACCTAAGTGTCCTGGTCGGCAAGGTTAGGTTAAAAGTGAGAGGGTTCAGCTAGAAGGAAATGAGATCATTCAGGCAAACTGCCTGCCACAGCACCTGCCCTCCCGGTCAGTCCCACCAGTGGACTATTAAGTGGCTTCCTCCCCAGAGAGCCTCAGGATGCCCTCTTTAGTGAAGCACTTCACTCGGACCAGCAGGGTATGCTTCGCAGTTACCAAGGGAAGGGAGACATCCTCAGCTGGCTGCCATCTGTAGAGAACAGCTCTGTCTGCCCTCCTTGTACCACTTCCTAAGTTCTCTAAGTCAGTAAACAGCCCCAAGTCACCCAAACCGCTTCCCTCTCCTGGAGGAAAAGTCAATTCCCCAAACAGGATCTGGAGTATGGAGGGGACCTGGTTTGGAAAAGGTCAGAAACCTCCTGAGCTTCTCTCCCTGGACCCAGACGTGGAGGGGTCTGCTGTCTCGGTGATCCAGCACTTATGTGGTTTAATGTAGCATCTACCAAAAACTTGGCTGGATGTGGCCTGGAGTCTGAGGGTCTGGCTGGAACTTGTACGTGAGATATGCCAGCACGGGGATTTGCAAACTGTGATCCCCAGAACCCTAGCTAGGCCTCAGAGCACCCTATGGAAGGACAGAGGGTTGAGGAGGAAGCTGATCCCACTGTACCCCCTTTAATCAGAGAGACTCAGCTCTTATTTGCCTGTACAGTCATCCCTCGGATATCAAAATCTGCAGACGCTCCTCAAGTCCTTGATATAAAATGGCATAGTATTTATATATAACCTATGTACATCCTTGCATGAACTTGAAGCCCTCTCTGGATTATCTATAATACCTACAATGTAAACAGTTGTTATATTGTCTTGTTTAGGGAATCATGACAAGAAAAACGTCTGCACATGTTCAGCATAGGCACAATTTTTTTTTCTGAACATTTTCAGTCTGTACTTGTTTGAATCCAAAACCCACAGAGATGGTAATATGATGATATTTAGGGTCCCAGGTAACACTTGGCTTGAGAAAGGCTTCTGCTGACCAAATTGGCTTGATAATAATTTCTCTTAATGCAGCATGGCTAGGACTTACAGCAAAAGAATCTTGGGAAGTAGGGTGCAGAGACATGAGTTCTTAACAAGCTCCCACACCAGCAAGAATTCCCTGTTTACCTTTTGGTACTGGGGGCTGAGGCAAGGTTAGCTCAGTTAGTCTGGGGGCTGCCTCTGCTTCCAGGTACTGTGGAAGGCTGGACGTTCACAGAAGAGACAGGATTAACAGGGCAAAGCACCCTGGGGCCACCACCAAAGCAACCAGGAAAACCTTGGAAACACAACGGCACTGTGACCCAGCCACCCTTTTCCTTTGGGAAAGCCTCTTTCCCGTGGCAGCCTTGGAGGGTCTGTGTTTTATTTTTTATTAGAGAAGGTGGCATTTCCTTACCCTTTATATGGGTCCCTTTGCCCCCAGTTAGTCAAAATACAGGGCAATTCTGCCCACAGGTGCATAGAAAAGGGCTTCGCTTCAAGGGCAACAGTGACTTTGAACCAAGAGGCAAATTATTTTCTTTGAAAACTGCCGAGGCTCCTTGGGTACATTCCACGCTGAGCATGACGGCATCAGGTTACTGAGGCTCTTACGGAAATGTTATTCCTGTTAATGCGAGGCAGAAAACGTGAGACCCGAACAAAATACCCTCTGATAAATGGACTAACAAAATTTCCAGTTACCAGCCCCGATCAGGGCCAAGCCTTACTTTTGAGTTAAACCTGAAGAATAATTTCCATTGACAGTTCCTGTAAGAGCCTCAGCTGCAGCAGCAAACGGGGCCTTGGCCGGGGTCCATCCTGCGAGATGGCAGGAGGAGAAATTGAACTCGTGCCAGCAAAAACACTCCTCAGCCCCCAAACGCTCTGTGGGCTTCATGAGATCGGTATGGCCGAATAAACAGCACCCCCAGGGCTTTCTTCATGATCTAACTCCTTCGGTAAATTAAGGAATTTTTCCAGAAGCCAGAGACTCAGTAAATATTTCTGACAGCCTTCAAATTGCAGTTAAGCCCAATTCACCAAGGAGTTCCTGGGTTTCCTTTACATGAAAGGTTGGTCTTGAAAGTCTCAAGGTTGGAAACACGGCTGTTAATTTTGCCCTGTTTATTAGGCATCGGTTTCAGGTGCTATCTGATTTATCTTCAGAGTGGGTGCTACCCACCTGCCCGGAGAAAGGGGCAGGAGTTTGGGCAAGGAGAAAATCCTAGATATGATAAATGCAAACAGAGGTTCATTTTGGGGGGTGGTGGTGAATGAGTGCGTGGGTATTTGTTATATGACCCTATGTACCATTTGGTATTTTTTTAATTAAAAAGAAAGAAAGAAATACTCTATGGCTATGGCTATACTCTGTCCCCCAGCAGGCATTTCCAGCTACCCTGACATACATCAGGCATTAATTTAGGAGTTCAGTGATCTTAGGTTTGGGGACTAAACCTAAGATCCTCTTTTTTTTGTTCCCCCAAATAACACTTTACTTTACGAGTATTGCCAAAACTGTACCAAGAGTCAAAACAACTGACACATAGTTTTATAACACTTCATCCACGATATATAAGTCCTTCACGGGAAGAACTCAGGATGTTCCTGGGCTATGTGGCGGCATTGTGCTGCCCATTCCACAGGCAGGGAGCAGAGGTGTGGGTGGTCGAGGGCTTGCTCGGGAAACAGTCTAGGCCTAAAGGTAAACTATGTGAATTAGGAACGTGGTCATGAGCTCCACTTCCTCAAAGTCATATTTATTTTCTCTGCTTTCTAATCATTGCAATGATTTCCTCTACGAATCGTTGGGGTTTTTTATTTTTTTCCTTAACCATAGGGCAGTAGACAGAGGAAAGATAAAAATAGACATACTTAAACTCACAGAAGTGGGGAGCTACCAGCTTGCAAAGGAAATGAGACTACTTGCTGGGTATGGCTGGAGAACCAGACAGTGGTGCTTAGGGAGAAAGAGGTAAAGTGAATAAATGAAATAAGTCAACTCTCTGAAAAAGAGAAAAACCATCGCTCTACTCCTAGCAAATCAGAGCAATGTAGGACGCCCATAGTCTTGGGGTCCAACCCTAGTGTGTAAGGAGGGCCAAGTTTCTGTTCATTCCTCTGCCTCCTCTCACCCAGAGCTGTTTATCCACTCACATCACTTCTCCTCTGCGGCTCTTCTTTCTGTCTCTTTCATGGGAATGGGGGTGGGAGGGTGTTGGTTCAGCTGCTTTTATTTGATGGTGTGTGCATGAGAAGCTTTCGGACAGAATGCAATTCAAAACAGCCTGGCTAAGGAATGCAAGGAAAAAAAGAAACAGGGGAAGAGAGGGGCCGCTAAGTTAAATACACAGGAGAAGCTGCAGAAAGTTCAGGAAAGCCGTGTAACATCTCCACGCCTCTGTTTCCTCCTTCTGACAGGAGATGGGTAACTCAGGATTAAAGGAGACAGGGTGTGGGTGTTGCGCTAGCTGGATGGCTGATGCGGAGGAAAGCATGTCAAAAGGGCAGGTAATTTTACTCATCAACAGTAACGTTGTATGATTAACAAGGGAATCTGGCTTTGTTAAAAGATGTCCAGAGTCCTGCACTAATCAATCTAAAGAGCTAACAGAGCCCCATACTGTAAGGCAACACACCTACGCATGTTTGAGGCCCGAGGCCCACCACTCCCTGTTTGGGGGAAGTGTTGGGTTATTTAACAAGGAACGTCTCCCAGCATTTGCTCACGGGTTCCCCCTTGAAGATAGACCCTTCCTACTTGAAGACAGAACCTCTCCTTCCCTTGCCAATGAGACTGACAATCCCCAGAGGACAGAACTGTGTCTTCCTCACTTCTTTGTTCCCAAGAACGGCAAGGAATGGCCTTCATAAATGTTTAATGAATGAACCTCAAAAAGAAAAACAACAGAGCCCCCAGTTTCCCTCACCATTCCACGAACTGAAAGCTTGGTCCGAGGTGAATCTATTGCCTAATGAACACCCAAGGGCCCACTCACCTTTTCTAGGTGTAGATTTATCCACCGAGTAAAGGTCCTCTTCTGCACATTTTCCCTCTCCACTGAAAACAAAGGAATGCCATTAGTAGGAGGAAAGAGCTGTGTGCAAACTGACCCCCCCTCCTTCCCAGGGAGAAATTCCACATGGATGGATTGTAGGAAGATGTAAGAAGCCCTCCCCTTCCTCGAAGGGGGCTGACAAGGCCTTATGTAGACCCCAGAGCCCATTCTCCCAGCCCAACTCCTGAGCATCTGTGTAAACCCCCTAATTGAGACACACAGAACAAAATGTTCTACACAACCTAATAGGAGTATAGACACTTGGCTCGCCAGGGTAAGAAGCACTGGTGAGAAAATATAAGTTAACCCCCATGGTGGACGGTGCTGCACAGCCGCTTAGGGGGAGCCAGAAGTCTGAGGAGCTGGGCTGAGGAGAGACAGGTGGGGTGGGGTCAATGATTAGAAATTGGGATCGGGGCTCTGGAATATGCCAGAGTTGGGTGGAAGAAACTGGATAGCTTGGGGTCAGCTCCTATCTGATGTGCACACTGAGGACGAGGCTCTCACTCCTCGGGCTGCTGTAGGACACCTGGGATCCTGAGTCTCAAACTCAATACAGTCTCTGGCACAGTAGTTGCTCCCCACCCCCTCTGTAGCTATCCTTTTCTGAGCCAGGGAGGACCTTTTGTCCTCCAGGAGGACAGAGCTCTGCAGACACCTGCTGGTGAACTGCAAGGACATAAACCAGGCATGGACCCGTCCTCCCGGGGAGGGCATGACCCACACAGGCTTCAAGGAAAAGATCTTTCATTTCACTGCCATCCACCAAGCACTGACGGCATCCTGGATACTCTGTTTTCATCAATCTTTAAACCTTATAACACTCCCTGCAAAGCAGAAACTTATTTTATAGATGAACAAAATGGGGCTGAGAGAAGTGACAGTGACTTTCTCAGGCCATCAGCTGGAGAGAGGCGGAGCTGGGAATCCCCCTCACCACGCTCTGCTCCAGGTCTGTCTGCCCCACATCAGGTAGCACCCCGGACATGGAGGGCATGAGTTTGAACTCCGGGTCTTCCAATCACATCCCAGGCGTCTGAAACAGTAATAATGGCGAGTTGTTTGAAAAAACCTGCGGAGCACTGGCAGGCACAGATCTGGCCCCTAAAGGGCATGAACTAATGTAATGCTTACTAAAACCCTCTGAGGCATGTACTATTCTAACCTTCAGATGAGAACACTGGGGTTTGGGGAATGTCATAGCTTGCCCAGAGTCACACAGTTGGTAAGGCAATTATTCCCATTTTACAGCAGGAGACATGGAGGGGCAGACAGTTAACAGGCAGCCATGCTGGGCCTCTAGATTCTGTGGCCTTAGCTGCGTTAGGACCCTCAGGGACCCAGAGGGTATTTCCATGAAGGGCCTCATCAGCAGCAGTTCCTGGGCCAAGGTGCACCATGGACTGTGGTAACCTCCTTGCTTCAAGCTGCTATGTCTCTCAAGAAGCTTCCTTGAAATGTCAGAGCCAGACGACTCCTAAATTACTAAGCTCTAGATTTCAACATATTGGAAGAACACATCATATTTGCCCCAAACCATTTCATATTTCTTTAGCAATAAGAAAATGAGAGCCAATTTATCTCCTGGGGGAAGAAAAAAGGCTATGGTGTTCTGTTAATGACTACAGTACTTGTTCCTATTGGCCTCATTATTAGGTAGGTAGTGGCCCCCATAAATCACATTTTAATATCGTGCCTTTCAATCTTTTTAATTGAAGAGGCAGCAGACAGTAATTATGAACATAACCGCCTTTCTCTTGTTTTCCTCTTTCTGTGAAAGGGAAGGTCACTGGCAAGTAGACATAAGAATTAAAGATTTAATTCCAGTAAACTGGGTTCCAGGGGTAGGAAGGGGAGAGACAAAGGAAAAGAAGTCGACAGAAATGAAGTAGGGACCAGGGGCAGCCCAGAGCCTCAGAGACTTCCAGAAGCTTGGGAAGCGTCCTGTTCAAGCCCCATCTGAGATCGCTCCGTCTCTGCACACCCACAGCTGCCTCACTCTCTCTGACGGCAGCCATGTTTGCCACAGCCCGGGTGTTCCCTAGTTCAGTGACCGTCCCCTGTGGATGGACATTGAGGCTATGTCCAAGTTTTCAGTGTTGCAAGTGATAAAGCAACATGTATCCTTGTTCAAGCATCCTGGTATGTGGTTCTTTGGGCACAAATGTATGATGATATATTTTACCTTTGATAACTAAAAATAGAACTGCTTGGTCTTAGTGGTAGGCACATTTAAAATTTTAATGGCTACTTCCAAATTGCCCTCCCACAAGACTGTCCCAGTTTATACTTTCACCCCCACCTGTCTTTAAACAAGTTTATGAGGACTGTAAAGTATTTACACACACATTCAAACACTCAGGCTGGTTTCCCCATACGGCTTCAGAGAGAGCAATGTATGCCCTCTGAAACAGAAGTGCCTTTAGTAAAAGCCTCAGAGAACCTGAGCTAGGCTGCTAGTTTAATTGCACTCAGGGGTATAGATGAGGAGGTATCTTTGGTCTACCCATGATCCATCTATCCACCCACTCATCTATCTGTCCATCCACCTACCCACCTGTCCATCAGTCCCCTTGCCCATTCATCCATCTGTCCATCCATCTAACCATTCATCTATCCTCTCACCTGTCCATCAGTCCATCTGCCCACCCATCCATCCATCCATCCTCCCAGCTGATATTTAGGAAGTGATTACCATATGCTGGGAACTATGACAGGCTTTATGGGCAAAAGCAGAGGTGAAGAATTAAACATGTATGGAATCTACACTGCAATTCACAGCCAGGGCAGAGAGTGAAAGCATGGATATCATAAGGCATTATCCAAGGAGAAATGCTTTAGAAATGCCAAGGGCTGACTGGCCTGGGAGGAGACGACTTCAGACCCCATGGGCACTCCTTCTGGGCCCTAAGAGCACTTCATAGCAGAAGTGGGACAGGGAGGGGCCCTTGGTGGCAAAGTCTGTGTGTGTATTCTACCCATGACCTGATTCCGAGCCAACCTCATGGTGGCTTTACTTCCTTTCCAGCCAAGGCCAGTGCACAAATCAGTCCCGACAGCAAAGCTGATCCACGGGAGGGACAAAGTGATAAGTGAAGGACCCTAGAGGACCCTGAGACTAAACCACAAATAGCAGACAAGTCCCAAACCAGGGACTTGGCTATGGAGACCATATTTTCTGGACCTAAAACTAGGACACATCGCTCAATACACAGGAGAGATGCTTCGAGAACTCGAGCCTGCCCTAGAACGTCTGCTTTGGTGCCACACACTCGCTGTGTGACCTTGGGCAGATTCACCACTGTCAAAATACCTTTACCTGGGTCTCCCCTCCACAGCATAAGGCTAGCCACGCCACTCTTGCAGAATGCCAGGGAGACTAAATGAGATCCCCCCAAAAGCATCCTCCATAGCAACTCCCTGCAGGCCAGTTTCCCGGCCCCCGCAGTCACACAGTGTCGCCTTGGGCTTAGGTATTTTGTCTGGCGTCTCGACACAAAGGTCTGCCACTCTTTCATGGCCTTCTCCATTTTGAAATACCCACCCCCGACTTGCAGACCTTTCCTACTTCTGGCCTGCCAAGACTCCATAAACTTTATATAGTTTCCATAAATCCCACGGCCCCTTTTTTCCTACCACATTGTAAAGGTGTAGGAAACCATTTCTCTGGAAGGGTCTGGCTTTCTCACAGAGTATTCGCGAGGCCCGGTGTGGGTTTACTGGGCAACAACAGAGTAATGACAGTGCTGTAAAATCGTTGTCCCAGCTCCGCCGGGTGGGCCTGGGTGCCAGTGTGCCGGGCGGCGTGGAGGCGCTGGCCGGGCTAGGCTGCAGGCACTGGGACAGAAAGGAGAGAGGCTTAGCACTGGCCTGGCTCCACCACCCCAAACTCCCAGGTGTGACTTGGGCGCTGGTCTTGCCAAGAACAGACCAGTTAAAAATGGGAAATAAGACATTTCTCCCTTCTCCAAGCCCCAATGGCCAGCTCAAGACTTGGGAGCCACAGAGAAGGATGCTGGCACTAGGAGTTAAAATAGATTCATTCACACTTGTGGCCTTTGTCCCAATGTCCACATTTCCCCAACCCTTCTCCCTATATAATATTTTCTTGATAATATTTCTGTTCTTCTTTGCCCAGGAGAAAGGCTTAATGGGCATATCTGCTTATAGACACTTATATGCTTATCATAAAAAAATAAAATACTGGAAAGCATAAAAACCATACAGAAAAACATAGGAAAAATATTTAAAAATCACAGGAAATTTCATTATGCCTAAAGAACACACACACGCAATTTCAGTGTAATCAGTAAATGACTCAATCTCTCAACGTATGGCCCATGGATCACTAATGTCAAAAGCAGCTGGAGTGACAGTTAAAATTCAAATTCCTTGGAGTCCATCCCAAACTCACTGGGGTTTGGGCCTGAGAATCTACATTTAGATGATGCCTAATGACAGTGCATAGTTTGAAAACCCAGATCTTGGCTAAAGAAGACAATTAGCACAATTTCTTGGTCATCTTTGGGCAGAGTAGAGAATGCCAATGGGAAAGTCAGCACAGAACAGGAGAAAGACCAGGCAGTCTGGAACCAGATGTGCGGCTCCCCTATGGATCTTCAGATAGGGATACGGCTCCAGGTTTCACGTTTTTTTTAAAACGATGTAGACACTGCACTGGGAATGGCTTGCCTGCAGTAGGCTAAAAAATAGACATTTTCTGTCCTTCTTTAAAGGACTCTTCCTGACAATGAGCATCTTGGGAATGGCTTTAGTCACTGAATTTATGCTGCTGGGAGGAATGTGAGTCTCCTGAGATGCGTATTGCCTACGTGGACTGTACAGCAGAATGTTTGCAGAGGAGATTTATTCTTTGATGTCCATCCAGATGATCAGTTGGGACCATTTATTTCCAGCTTCAGAGATGCTTCCTGGGCAGGGCAAAAGAGACAAAGGGGGTCTCTGTGTGGGCATTCCCCCGATCCACTGCACAGGTGCATGG